CCGTGGGCCCAGGCTAGAGTTAGTACAGACAGCCAAGCGAGGCTGTCCTTCCTCAGTGTCCGCTCTCTCCTGGGAGACTAGAGACCAAGCCTGCGCTAGGCCGATGCGCTAAGCCCCACCTCGGCAAGCCTCAGCTTGAGCTTTCTGGCAAGTTCCGGCTCTACACCTCGCGGAGCGCCGCGAGGTGAGCGATGACGTTCAGGATTGGAGAAAATAGATCAGGGAACCATTTTACAGAGGTTCTATGGCGTGTATTTTGTTTTAATTTCCTAGGTATTAATGAGCCAAGTTTGTGGGATGAGTCAGGTCTGGGAAAGTGTATGTTTCCCTTGTCTCAACAGGCCTGTAAGGCAGAGGCAGCTTAGAGTCTTGTGGTCTTTTACATAGGAATAGATAGGAAGGAAAGGTCTAACTAAGACTTCAATCGTAAGGAGAAAGTGCAGCAGTGAGTGATGTCAGCCTTTGGAGGGAGACTGGATCAGCTGCGCACCGCCTTTCTCTCTGAGAAACGCTGAGGAGCATGCTCTAACGCTGGGCGGACGTCTCCACGAGCAGTGGCGTTCCTCCTGGCCCTCTGACTTGGAAGAAACGCTTTAGCCCACGTTTCTGTCATGATTTCTTGTCTGCTCAGGGATCTCCCGTACTCACCGCTCTGCCACCAAGTGCCAGGTTGCAGATGCATGCTGTCACTCTTCACTTTGACTTTTATTTTCAATTCTGCATATATGTATATGTGTGTGCACATGAGTGCTGTGCCCATAGCTGGGCAGCACTGGGCCCCTCGAGCCGGAGTTCTGGGGGTTTGTGAGTCATCTGATGTGAGGGGTAGGAACCAAACTCGGGGCCTGTTCAGGAGCAGCAAGTGCTCCTACCACTGAGTCACCTCTCCAGCGAGGGCTCCTGGTGCTTAAGTGGTGCTGGTTCTGTGAACTGGGGGCCTCATGCTTATTTATACAGAAGATACGTGACTCGGCTGTTTCCCTAGCTGCTAGGATTACTTCTGAATGGTGAAAAAAATTACCCCGGAAGACTAATATTTTCCAAATTTTTAGAGAAAAAAAAAAGTCTTAATATTTACAAACTGCTTTTTTTTTTTTTCATAAGACATAGGTTATGAAGACTTGAAAATAAGCTCAGCATAAAAACATCTCTTGGGCTAATGATGTCATTCCATGTGCACTAGGTTCTGGCTTTGGTTCACAGAGTTGCACAGAAAAGAAAAAAGTAAAGCCTTACTCAGAATTTTTGGGGGGCTGCCTCACTTCCTTTCTGTAAGGGTTCTGGGATCTTCATTTTGGACTGTTTAGGTCCCAAAGAAGTCCCTGGCTTCTTCAGGGCTCCAAGGTTGGCTAGAGGCGCTGAAACTCCTCTTTCAGGTTTTCATAAAGGTAATTTATTTATGCCATTTTCCACTTGAAAAGGAAATCCTGTCTCCTAACTGAAAAGAAACCTAACTGTGAGGTTGTGGCTGTAGCTCAGTTGCCCTGGGATTGATTCCCAGCACCACTAAGTTGGGTATGGTGGTGCAGGCCTACAACCCCAGTACTTGGATAGTGGAGACAGGAGACCCAGAAGTTTAAGGTAATTTTTACTAAATAGTGAGTTTAAGGCCAGTCTGGGCTGTCTGAGACAGAATCTCAAACAAACAAAAAACAGGCCCTGGCATGGTGTCACACACCTTTCACTCCAACACCCAAGAGTCAGAGGCAGTCTGATCTCCGTGGGTTCCAGGACAGCCTGGTCTACATTGAGTTCCAGGACAGCCAGAGCTACATAGTGAGATCTGGTCTCAAAACAACAAAAACCTCAAAAAGATCGTTTGTTTGTTGTATTCACTGAGAAACTGATTGAGAGCTGAGAAATATCACTCCTGTGGGCCTGGATGTGGAGTGGCTCGTGTGTGACAGGTAGGGTTGGTGGGGTGGGGGTGTCAGTGGGTGCGGGGTGCAGGCGGGGGGTATAAGCTTGTTCAGAATCCCTGATTCATAGCATCATTTGCCAACCGTGTTTCTTAGCTGGCTGACTTGGTACTTTTCATCAGTGGTTCATATCTGAGGGCTCTGGGAAGGTGAGTTTGACAGTTGTGTCCTTGAGAGTCTGACAGCTGTATGAAACAAACCAGTGTTTTGTTTTGTTTTTTTAACTTTAAATTTTATCTACAGTAGTGTGAAGGTGTCAGATCCCTTGGAACTGGAGTTACAGACAGTTGTGAGCTGTCATGTGGTTGCTGGGAATTGAACCTGGGTCCTTTGGAAGGGAAGACAGTGCTGTTAACCGCTGAGCCATCCCTCCAGCCCACAAACCAGTGTTGGATGGAGCAACCTTGTTTCACACCCAGCCGTTCTTTCTCCTAGGAGGGAATACAAACTTGTCTGTCAGTTGCTTTGAGCTGGCCCGTCCTGTTAGGTACTTGCTAATTCTGTAGGGATGAGTACCAAGTGTTGGCACACTCTCAAAATCAGTCTTGGAAATCTCCCCCATACTACATTTACTACTTTATTTAGTGAATAAAATGGCTGTTGGGCCACTACCCTCTGGACATGATGAGTTACAAGGCCAAGTCCAAGCCGTGGGTTGTGGCATCTGGAGCCTTCAGTGAGCTGGCATCTCACCGCATAGCTCAATCACTACTTAAAGGTCCCTGATAATTCTTGCTTTTCATTTTGTTTTTGACATGTCCTTTCCTTTGAGGAGATGCCTTAAAAACCCATAGAATTAGGGGGACAAGGCAAGATACAACTCAAGTTTAAAAAGTAAGTTTTAAGCATGTATTCTCTAGTAAAGTTTTAAGGTTTTTTCCTGTAGATGATTTCCTCTAGGGTTCAAGCTGTTTTCTTAGATTTCAAGTTTGAAACATTTCTAAAGGGGAGCTGGTGACGTGGTTCAGTGGCTAAAGGTATTTGCTTTTAGGCTTGATAGCCTGACTAATCCCCAGGTCCCACATGGAAGGAGAGAACTGACTCCTGCAGATGATCCCTTCACCTCCACATGCACACCATGGTACATGCCTGTACTCACAAACACGCCACACACACATGTAACACAATGACAGGACTGCTCATAAGAATGTGTCAGGGATGTTCTGACGTTTGTTTCCTGTCCTGTGTCTACCTGTCATGTCACAGTGGTAACCAAGGATGGGCACTGTGTCCACCTGTCCTGCCGTTGTCTCTCTAGTGCTGGCACAGTGCGTTGCTGTGGTAGACCTCCGAGTGAAGACGCTCTGCTGGTCTTCCGCCTCTTTGTTCAGAGACCTTAAATTTCATCCCTGTAGAGACTGTGCAGGGTTCCCACGGCCTCCCAGCCCTTCTCGCTCTCGGTCCGGGCTCCTCTGCTTGTGTCTTGGTGGTCTAGCATATCCTGCAGGTTCATTGGTTCTGGTGTCAGAATGCCAGGTCCACCAACCTTGCTACCAGATCCGCATTCCTTAATCTGATACGACTTTTGGCAAGTGATTCATCCTGCCTGTTTCACCTTCCTTAGAAGGAAAATGAAAATAGTGGCAGTAGCAACCTGTTTAAAGCATCTGGAGTCATGCCCGCTGGAAGTGGTGTTGGCTGTGGTGATGGACTCTTGAGCTGAGCTCTATCGATGAGCATTATTATGTAGATTGTTAAAGCTATTCCCCCTGTCTGACATTGTCAGCTTTTGGGCTGTGATGATAAGTTCATCTCTCATTGTACATTGGTTTCAACATGGCTCCACATTGGGTTTGATTATATTTAATTTTAACATGATTGCTCTTGTTGTTGTGCTTGCTTACTTGAAGGAAAAAAGATAAAAAGTGTTTGCCACAAGGCAGTGGCCAGGGAGGTGGGGCCTTCCTTCCAGCCTTGGCTTTCCATGAGATGGGGTATAGATGCTGGTTCAACTCTGCCACTGGATTGTTTGACCCTGGGAATATTGCTCAAATCTATGACACGAAGCTTAATGTTCATTTATTTAATGCTTCCTGAAGTTCTAATAAGGATTAAATGATGTGTGTACAGTATACCCAGCACCTGGCATAATGAGTAGTGTTTATTACTGCTACCATCTTTAGCCAAGATTATAACTAGAGATGGGTAATTATTAGCCCTTGAGGCCCCTTTCCATGGACTGCTGGGACCACAAGACCTTCGATAGGATGTTTCTACCGGAACGACTGCCGGGGCTGCTGTCTCTCATCTTTTTCTCCTTTCTGCTTCTCACAGGTTTTAATTTCTCATCCTCCGGAAGAGAAGATGTAGATGTGAGAACATTAGGCAATGGTAAGATGGTGTCCACACCGCCTGCTTAGAACCGCTTGCTCACCGCAGCCACTTAGAGCCAAAGGGAGGGCCAGGCTCCTCCAGACAGGGTGGGGGCCGGTGCACTCCGCAGTCCTTTGCAGACTCTGGTCTGAGTGTGACTAGTATCCTCTCCTCAGAGGCTCCTCACCACAGGCCTGTAGGTTGTAAGGACTTGTATGTACATTATTCTCAAAGTTTATTAGTTACTCCATTTAAGAACGTCTCAGGCACATGCCTCTTATCAAGCAGGTGATCTAGTTCCCGGACAGCTAGGGCCTCACAGAAAAACCCTGTCTCCAATTGGGGGTGGGGTGGGGAGGAAGCTGCACTTGGGAGGCAGAGGCAGGTGCGTCTCTGAATTCTAGGCCAGTCAGGTCTACAGACTGAGTTCCGGAACGGCCAGCCAGGGCTGTGTAGATAGAGCTTCTCTCAGAAAACACGGAACATCTCAGAGTTACCAGTTTTCGAAATGTCTATTTTTATTTGAAAATGATTAGCCCTTACTCCTCTCTCATCTTATCCTGTTGAGTTATGAGCTAGATGATGAGTTAATTGTGAGCTGTTAGATGTTTGTGGTTTTTCCCTGGAGGGTCACAGTTGTTCCATGTCACTAGAAGATTAGCTGGGACAACGGATCTCACCTTGGTGTATACGAATCTGGGCATTGCTGCCTGTGGCAGTGTTAGTTTCATTAGTGTAACCAACTTAATTAGTGGTTATTTCAGTTTGATTTTGTAGCTAACACAGGCCTGTGTGAGGAGCTCTGGGAATGCAGCCGCTTTCACACACCTGCTGTGTGGGGTTTAGCAGCCTCCTGCTCCAGAAGCCCTTTCATTCTTTTCACACATTCTCCCCCCCCCATGCAGTCATGTCAGCAAACGTTCATTCCTCAGGAGCTCACACCTCCTGCATTTGCCCAAATGGTCACCCTGTCAACACATTTCTGTTTCTTGACGGGGTGTACGCTGCCAGGAAGGCCCTTTGCGGTTGAGCTGCTGAATCCTCACAGAGTGCGGTTCACTTCGCAAGAAATTAAGGAGCTCCAGCAGGTAAGGAGCGCCACAGCTCCACCCCTGACATGGAAGCCTGGTGCTTGCACAGCTCTGTGGCTGGGCTAGAGCTGATAATTGCTTTTCTTTCTTTGCTACTGCAGAAAATTAATAAATCATCTGACAAAATCCAGGTACGGGACTTGCAGCTTGTTACGAGGTAAGGATGGGCGCGCTGGAGAGATTTCAAGAGGGACATCTCCATAGAGCATGTATTTGTTAAGGGGAGTGCATACAGAGTATATTAAGAAAAAAAAAATCTAACAATCCCGCAATTAAATGGGAAACGGTTAAGGAGACATTTCTCCAAGGAAGAGATATGAATAGCCCTTGAACAGAAAACAGTACCCAGTATCTTACACTAAGGTTGTGCAAGGCAGAGCCACAGTGAGCCCTCACTCCACACCCCTGAGGATGGCGGTCACCACAAAAGGAAAATGGCAAGTGCTGGCAAGGACAGAGAGGAACTGCCATGTGCATTGCCAATGGGGTTGGAAGTGTGGCCACTTTGAATGACAGTCTCTCAAAAACTCAAATTTAAGATGACCATATGACCTAGCAGTTCCACTTCTAGATATGACATCAACATCAGACATGCACATGCATCAACCGAAGGCCACACATGCATGTTCGTAACAGTGTTCGCACAGCAGAGAGGTCGTCAGTAGTAGCACAGACCCATAGTTCTACTAATTGCTAGGCCAAGACAGGAAAGTTGTAGGTACTACTTGCTTTATCTGTAGAAAAACACAGTGTGAAATCGTTGTCCCTTCTTTGGATGTTCCAAGACTTGCAGTGGACACGTGAGACTGCAGATAGTAATGAATTCTATAAACAGTATGTTTTTCCTGTGCATAACTGATGAAAAGGTTTGACTGAGAAATACTGAGCACAGATCAGAACCAGAGAGAGCGCTTGCTGCTCCTGCAGAGGACCTGGGTTCTGTCCCCAGCACATACACGCATGCACACACGCGCAGTGACTGCAGCCATCTGCAACTCCAGCTCCAGGGCATCTTTTCTGGCCTCTCAGGACACGAGGCAGTCGTGCGGCGTACCAACATGCGTGCGCTCACACATACACAGAAAATGGAAATAAATCTTTCAAAATACAAAGGTTAAAGAATAATAGCTCATAAGAAAACAGGACAATTGTAGCAATATACTATAAAAAAGGTAAGCATCGACTGCCTCTCCTCAAGTTTTTGTACCTAAGACTTTTCGTCTGAGGCCGACGGCCGACAGAGCCCACGTGAGGGGAGTGTACTGTACACCCATCCAGCGCGGTGTTGTTTCAGAAGTATGGAGCACAGGTTCATGCTGTACCACAGACACGGTGGCCTTGCCAGCGTTATGAAGCGACAGCACCCGGTCACCAGACAGCACATACTCTGTGGCTGCACCTGATAGGAGGTGTTCAGGGAAACCGTAAGGATAGAAAGTCAAGTAGTAGCAGATTGTCTTGGGCTTGGGGAAGGAATGGGAAGGAAGTGCTGATGGGGCATGGAGGGCCTTTCCCAGGGCAGTGAAGTGACATACATTAGATTGTGCTGGATGCGTAGCTCCATAAACAGTAAAGTCTGTGGCTGCATCATTTAAATGGAGGAGATGTATGCAAGTTATACTCAGTCAAGCTGCTGTAAGGAAGGATTTTGGGACAAGGTTTGTGTATGTCTTGTGTGCTCAAACTCCTTTGTTACTTTTGTTTAGAGAGGCAATAGGGCACATGAAGGAAGGTGAAGAAGAAAAGACCAAGACCTACAGTGCCTTGATATGGACAAATAAAGCCATACAGAAGAAGGACATAGGGTTCCTAAATGACCTAAAGGTACTTTACACACAGCTCTTTACTTTACTTTTCTTCTGTATATGAAGAAGCTCCTTGCCTTCTAGTTTATTCCCAGCAAGCCAGAGACCCCGGCTTCTCCATGTAACCTCTGTTCAAATCCTGCCTTTCCCACTCACCAGCCCAATGATGGGGTGTTTGTCTAACTCTTTGGAGAACCAGTGTTGTTAACTCTGAAGACAGACTCCCGGGGTCAAATCTTGGATCTGCATTTCTTAATTGTGCAACTTTGGACAAATTCCTTAACTTCTTTATGCTTCATCTGTGAAATTAGTTTAGAAATATAAATTAGGTCACTTGTACAAAGCATTTCAAATGGTACCAATTACCTAGAAAATACTCAGCAATGCTCTTATATTTGGTTATCTGTAAAAATTAAATGTAAAATAAAATGTATTTAATAGAGTTGATGCTGAATTACATATGAATGAGTAGGTTGCAGTAATGATTTGAAACACGTGCTTTTGTGGGCGCGGCGCTGTAAGGCACGCCTGTTTATTGAACAGCTCTCATCTCTAGCCAGTGAAGACCGTCGCGGTGAGCGAGAGTGCTTTCACTGCCGTGAGAACCTCAGTCTGGAGCTCGGCTTCCACATTAAAAGCAGGCATGGCCATGTATGCCTGGAACGCCAGAGCTGTGGGAGCAGAGGCAGGAGATCGCTGAGACTTGCTGGCTGGCAAACTAACTCCAGATTCAGTGAGAGATCCTGTCTGAAAGGAATGAGGTGGAGAGTGACTGAGCAGGACACCATGGTCCTTCTTTACTGTGTATATATGATGGGGTGGGAAGGGAGGGATGAAAGGAGGGAGAGGGAGAGATGAGAATTTATTTCAAATGCAAAGATTGAATGAGCATAAATGAGCACAAAAATGTATGTAAGTTATCTGATGTTATTTAAATGGGCAGTATTTTGTAGCACTCTAGATGGCCTGCTAAAGAACACTAGCTTCATATATAAGTATACACACACACACATATTGTTTATCTGTATAATGGAGTTTTACCACTCATATCATAACAATTTGTGGCAAAGCTGGATGTGGTGGCTCAGAAACTCAAGGCAAGAGGCTCACAAGTGTGAGGCTAGCCAGGGCTATACAGTGAGACGCTATTGCAAAGAGCCAAGTTATGTAAGGTGATATTTATTAGCATAGGGAAAATGTTGCCCAGTGCGAAGGGGAAAGCTGCAGGAATAGCTAGAGGCTGAGGGGGGCCTTGTAATTCCGATGCATCCAGATGTGCTGTGCACACAAATAATATGGCAAAAGTTTTCATAAATAGGATTTATAGTGAGTTATGGAAAGTATAGTGCCCAGTAGATTAGAAAAACGAATGAAGGATTTGAACAGGTGGTTGAAAAGGAGCAACTCCAGGTGGCCAGCAGTCATTTGGAATGCTGCTTCCCTCCAGGATGCTGCTTACTGGTTTATCCCCTTAAACCAGTAAGGCGGATAGTGGGTCTAGTGGGAGAGCAAGGAGAGGAGTTGCAAACATTGGTAGCAGAGATGGAAGGTGTTCCAGGCTTGGAAGACAACATGGCAATGACTGTAGGAAGGAAAACCCGCACCGCTGTGCGCAGCGCACGCTCTGGTGACAGCGTTACTGCAGGGGCATGACTCCTGTGTAAGGGTATGCATGACTTTGTGCAGAGTGGCACAGTCAACAGTATCAAAACTGGAAAGAAATGGCATTAGCTGGACAGCACATGAAGGTTATGAGTTCAGGACCAATGTGGGCTACAGAGACCAAACAAACAAAAACTAGTGGTAGAATAAACAAGCATCTTGTAGCTGTTAAAAATAAACCAGAAGCAGGGTATAATTCCTCTCAATTTGGGTTTGTGTGTGTCCATACATACCAATAAATGTTGGGGAAAGACATACGGTGTCAGTCTGACTCGTGAGACAAAAGCAGAGCAACAGCCTTGCGTGTGGAGGGAAAGCACACATCATTTGTACACCAGGAGCCGCCTGTTACCTTCACAGCCTCGTGCTGCACACCTGCTGCCTAGGGCACAGATTGGGGTTTTTGTTTCTATTTCTTTGTTTTGTTTTGTTGTAATTGAGACAGGTCATCGTGTAGCCAGACTGACCTCACTGTGATGTTGAACTTCTCTTCTGTATCTACCTCCTGAGTTCACCAGGCTTTTGTTTCTTATGCTGTGTGAGGGCTTGAACCCTCACAGGGGCGTCACACACGCCCCACAGGCACTGTACGGAAGAACCATGGCTCCGGATAAGTGATACACTACAGACATACCTTGAAGAATACAGAGGGCTAGAGAGAGGGTTAAGAGCACCGACTGCTCTCCCAGAGGCCTCGAGTTCAATTCCCAGCAACCACATGGTGGCTCACGACCATCTAGAATGGGATCTGGTGCCCTCTTCTCACATGCAGGTGTACATGCAGACAGAACATTCTTTACATAATAAGTAAAACTTAAAAAATACAGATTTATAAACTGTCCAAGACATGTATTTCTTCATAGATGTATAGATCAGCTGAGTACCATGGTGACACCTTTAATCCCAGCACTTGGGAGGCAGGGGCAGACAGATCTCTGAGTTCAAGGCCAGCCTGGCCTACAGAGGGAGTTTCTAGCTTTAACACAACAACAACCAAAAAAAAAAACAAAACAAAAAAAAAACAAAAAAACAAAAAAACCAACAACAGCCAAACAAAACCCACCAAAAAACTTAGATGTACGGTCATTTAGAATGCTGTTTTAAAAAGTCATTAAAAACAATGGGCTTAGGGGCTGGCATTGAGGCTCAGCAAAAAACAAATCCAGCAAAAATAGATTAAAGGGCTGGGATGTAGCTGAGTGACAGAGGGCCTCTGGTGCAAGGCCCTGGGTGTAGTGCCCAGCATTGCAAAAAACCAAACCAAACCAAAACAAAACAGAAAAGCATTTTTTAGGGGTTACCGTAGATCTAATAAAAAACTGCCACAGAAAGGTGATTTTATAGACACATAGTAAGTAGTCAGAGGCACTCCGCCGCGCCTGGCTGTTTCTAGTAACACTTGTAGAGTTTTACAAAAATTCTCATTGCTGTAAAGATGAAGCTGAGCAGGTTCTCTTCTGAGCAAAGGACTGCTGCAGCCCCCCTGCTGGCCTCCTCGTTTTAAAGGGCAGCCTACTTCTGAGGAAAAAACTGTATGCGCTCTGTGCTGCATGTGTTTCTGTGTGGAATAACAGAACAGTGCTAACAGTGGGTGGAATGGCTTCCTTTTGTGGTCTAAAAGGCAGACTGAAAGGACACACAGGCGTGCGCACCGTGAGTGCTGTTGGCAGCAGCGCTGGTGGCTGTGGCTCAGTCAACCTAAAGTCAAGTAACAGAAACAGGGAGGAGAGTTCTCACTACATTGTTGCTTGTATTTACTTTTTATTTCTATTTATTATTATTATTATTTTTTAGACAGGGTCTCACCATGTACCTTTAGCTGTCCCAGAACTCGTACAGACCAGGCTGACCTCAAACTCACAGAGATCCATCTGCCTCTGTCTCCAGAGTGCTAGGGTTGAAGGGACGTGCCACCATGCCATGCAGTGGTTGCTGACGTAAAGGCTGGCTGTGTCTGCTCCCTGAATACCCCCGTATACACCGCTATCACTGCTCCTCACAGGTCACTCTTGAGCATATTTGTCTTTGGCTAGAGGAAAGGCAACAGCTCATCCCGTAAGAACTCCAGTCATAAAAGTCACAGTTGAGGAGGGGCTGTTGACTCCTCTTTTCTGGAGCAGCCGTGCTCTTCAAGTGTGCTCTCTGTCAGAACTTGCTCGTCATCCTTGGTGTCTGGAAGGGAATGTGGACAGAAGCCTTTCCTTTCTTAGCACAGAAGCTGCTCACCCATCACGCAGATGAGGAGAGGCCTCTCCAGCAAGAAACTGCAGAGTTCAGAGTTCTTAGGAACCGACTTTTCTGGTTTGCCTAAAACCTAATTTTAAAGGTTTGAAGTAGTTGACCTTTTATGGTATTAATCCCTGCTTCTTGATTTATCTCATCTAACATAAGGGGGAATTATAAGAAAAAAAACCAGCCTGTATCACTGAAGAGCATTTGAATTGTTAAAACCTGTGCAGATATTACATGTGTAAATCTGTGTTAGGAAATGTGGAAGACTGCGTTACTGTACAGATCTACTTAAACGGAAACATCTTGCTAAACATGGTTGCACCTTTCCAGATACAGTCTGTGGTACAACAAACCCCAAAATGGAGGATACTGTTCCGTAAAATGTACACACTTTGCACAAGTGACACTGGGGTCCCACCTTCTACCTCCCTCTCTCTTCCAGCTGAACTCCTCACTTTGATGTCAGTCACTTGTGGCATTAGAAAACAACGGTACCAGTGTAGTCTTCTAGCAAAGTTCTATGCCAGAACTCTGACTGATGTATTAAGTTTCTGGGCGGAAGAGCCAGCGCTCAGGGTCATTCCCTCAGAGCACCATGGTAGGCATAGTGGTAGTATTCAGAAAGCGAGTAACCATGAGCTAGGCTGTGAGAAGTCCTGGGAAGTGAGGACCTAAGGAGGTACAGCTGGTTCCGACTACTGAGTCCCCACGTTGCTCTGACAAGGGTGGGAAAGTCTGTGGTGACTGTGGGTGGCAAAGGCCAAGTTAAGGCTCTGACTCTGATTGCATCCTCTCCTCTAGGACCTAAAGATTGACCAGAAAACGCCTCTCCGAGTCCTTCACCGAAGGCCTTTGGCCGTGAGAAAGCGGGCCATTCACTCTATGGAGACACACTACCTGGATGAGCATCATTTTCGTCTGTATTTGAAGACCCAGGCTGGAACGTATCCTTCTGTGATGCATCGGAGAGACCCAAGCAGAATGGGGTCAGGATAGTTCACTGCCCTAAAAAGCGGGGTCTGTTGATCAGGGAGGTTTCTTCACTTACTTACTTCTCACGGATGTGAGATGTGTTCTCACGGACCCAGGTCTCATGGACTTCAGGCTGGGCTGAGCTCCTGATCCTCCTGCCCTCTACCTCCCAAGTGCTGTGATTACAGGCCTTCCGTCACCTCAGGTGGTCTGGGATATTTTAGAAAGGATTTGAGTGTACTAATTCAGTATTTTGGAGTGGAATCAGTACTTTTCGGTTTGATATTTGTTTTCCCATTTGTGTTTCAAAACAGTGTTTTAGACCATGAAGTGCCTGTCAATTCAATGCCAACTTTAAAGTTTATAGTTCTGGTACAGTGCCTTACCCATATAATATACCCAGAAAGTACTTTTAGTTGACTCGTTTGCTGTCCTTACATGTTTCACAAGTTACATGTTCATCCTATTGGTCCTTATAGTATTGCAAGTGTTTGCCCAACTGGTTAAGCAGGTGTTGGAAGGAAATGGTGGTATTTTACTTTCTTTTTTTTTTTCTTTGCCATGATTTTTTTCTTTTCATTTTTTTTAAAGATTTGTTTTACGTAAATGAATGTTCTGTCTTCATGCACACCAGAAGAAGGAATCAGATTCCATTACTGATAGTTGTGAGCCACCATGTGGTTGCTGGGAATTGAACTCAGAACTTCTGGAAGAATAGAAAGTGTTCTTAACCGCCGAGCCATCTCCTCAGCCCTGGAATTTTTCTTTCTTTAAAGTTTGAGACAAGTTCCCCATGTTGCCTGGACACTAAACCGTTCTCTGTCTCTGCCTCCTAGGAATAAGATAGGGTACAGACACACTGCCGTGCCCAGTGCTTCTGCACAGAGTGATTGTAAGGGACACACAGGTCTGTGACACACACACACACACACATTCAGTTAAGCAATAATGTAGCAGTGCGAGGACGGGGTTTCAAAACTCCAGCATCTGACCATGCTTTAAGTAGAAGAGGTTAATCCTCAAGAGTTCTGAATGGCTGCAAGCCAAAGCTGGCATTTGTCTACCCTCCTGTGACACTGGGCCAGAAGCGAGTTCCTAATTAAGTGTTCCAGAGAGCTCTGTCATCTTAGGCTTAGTCTAATATTTACTTTCTTACAGGACTACTCACAAGTTAAAATTCATTTTGACTTTGGTAGTAGGGATTTTAAAGCCAGGCCTCATTCACACTAAGTACATACCCTACCACTGAGCTTCAAGCCCTACCTCAGATTATGAAAACAAAGTAAAACTAACCCTTGTCTTCAGTTACTGCTGTGTCTTTTGGAGAAACTGATACCTTTTTGATCCTGCTAAGACATTTTTGGAACCAGCCACATACATGTACTTAGTATGTTAGCTAAGAGAATCTGGTAAAAACCTATAGATACCTCTGGTGACACCATAGAGGTATGTACGTTCTTTACGTATGGAGCTCACCTGCCCTGTCTCAGCTCACATGGCTTAGTCCCTTGAACCAGCTCCATGTACTCCCCCAGCACGAATGAGCTCCAGACCTTTGCATTGCTTTGGGGGGGGAGCTTTTTGGTCCACTTCTTCCTTTATTGTTGCTAGCTTTCTCTGACAAAAAGAAGAGAAGAAGAATGGCAATTGAGGAGAAATTATGAGTTTAGGGAAAAAGGAGCTATTAGGTAATTGTATGTCTTCTGTTTGAATCAAAACATGCAGTGGGAGGGCAGCGAGAAAACTTAGTGTTGCTTCTTGCTCTCACTTGAGAATTCTTCCATTTCCCTGTATTAACTGTTAAGTAGTTACACCATTAACTTCTTTCTACTGAATTCTGGTTTTATGAATACAATACAATGCTGCGTTTTTGTTACTTTTTTTTTTTTTTTTTTTTTTTTTTTTTAGTGAACAATGGGGAAATGTATCTTTTTCAGATGCTAATCTTAAGAAGAACAAATTCCAGATTTAGCCAATGCTTTCAAAATATGAAGACCTATGAGAAAAAACCAAAGTTGCTAAAACCAAACCCCAAAAAGAATTTAGCCAGGTTGTGGTAGGCCACACTGGAATCCTAGCACTAAGGATTGCTGCACGTTCAAGACAGCCTACATTACTCGATGGTTCCAAGGCCAGGCGGGAGTGTCAGAGCACCCAAACGTATACAAACAGAAAGAAACAGAAAGCAAACATCAAACAAAGAAAACCACCTTAAGGATTTTGCTCACCGCTGCCTGTAAAACTGCAGCATAGGCGTGGGGATCCCATTCCTTTTCCCGGCCACTGATGCCACCCATACATGCATGACATACACTCACCAGACACACGTGCATCAGAAATAATAACCGTAAAATCTATTTTAGCTGGGCAGTGGTAGCATGAGCCTTTAATCCCAGCACTTGGGAGGCAGTGGCAGGCTGGTCTCTGTGAGATCAAGGTTACCCTGGTTTACAGAGCAAGTTCAGGACAGCCAGGGCTACACAGGTGTTTTTTTTTTTTGAAACACCAAAAAAAAAAAAAAATCTATCTTAAAAAGACTAATATTTTAATTCTCTATTCCATTTTAATGCTAATGTATTTCAAGGAACCACATCATTGAAGTCACTTTTTGTGTGGTCCTGTGGAAACTCTTCATTTGGTAGATGTCAATTATCATTATGGAAAAATGGGACCCAGATAACAAAATAGAAATGGTGATGACTAAAAAACAAACAAACAAACATTGGGTTTGGCATGATGGTGCAAGTCTTTAACAGCACTCAAGAGGCAAAAGCAGGCAAATCTCTTTGAGTTTGAGGTGAGCCTAGTCTACAGAGTGAGTTCCAGGCTAGGTCTACACAGTGAGATGTCTCAAAAAAAAAAAAACAAAAGAAAATTGAACCTGACTTAATGTATACTCAAACCTTGGATTTTGAGATGAGCTAATTAAAAAACAAACAAAACAAAGCCTGGGGTGGGGCCAGGGCACGCCAGGGTTTCTAGTCTCATCACTTAGAGCATGGAAGCAGGAGGGTCCATTCAACCCAGAATCTAGACTAGATTCTACAGGCTCTGGGGATTTGAGCTCTCTCAGCTGCTGCATCCAGGAAGAATATCCCTCAGAACTTAGGTCTTCCTGGACTACATGATACCTGACTCAAAGCAAAGCCATGGCCTTGGTAAGTTTGATGTGAACAGAGGTCCTGGCTACTGTCTTGGCATCCAGGCTGGTGAGATCCAGTTCCCCATAGCTTATTTTCTAAGATACACATCTCAGGTCAGAGTTTAGAAACGGCCTCTTTGGTAAGGTTTTTTATTCTATTTATTTTTCTTCTACTTGACAAAGTAGTTGGTACTGCATAATTCTTTCCTTAAAGAGACCTAGCTACATTAAAGAATTTGTGCATGGAGACTTTGGGAGAACCCAGCCGAACATTGGCTCCCTGATGAATGTGACCGCAGACATTCTTGAGCTGGATGTGGAGGTAAAGTATCTCTCTGCAAATCACATCAGCCAAAGAAGTTCTTGTGACAGTAACCAAGCAGCACTGCCTGTCTCCATGGGATATTTTTTATATGAGGGGTTTTTGTTTGTTTAAGACTTATTTTCATTTATGTGTCTGTGCACCCCATCTGTGCCTGGTGCTCCTGGAGTTGAGAAGAGACTGCTAGCTCTCCTGGACCAGAGTTACAGATGGTTGTGAACCACTGTGTGGGTGCTGGGAATGGAACCCAGGTCCTCTGGAAGATAACCACTGAGCATCTCTCCAGCCCTCTCCAGGGAAAAATTATCTTTGGAATTCTTTTTAAAAACAAACAAACAAACAAACAAACAAACAGCAACAAACCAGGATTCCATTTGTGATACTTGCAGGTTACCTGGCTAATTTACTAATTGGTATCAGGTTCTGTCATTTACTGATTTATCTCTGGTGTCAGATTAAAGCCTTAAACAAGGAAACAAAGTTGTAGCTGTGCCTCATGCATCCTTCCAAATGCTTGGGTTGTGTTTTGGAGCTGGCCATGTGGATGCATGCCTTTACTCCCAGCCCTGTAGAGGCAGAGGCTGGTGGATGTCTGGGCTCATGCTCTACAGAGTTCCAGAGCAGCCAGGGCAGTGTGGAATACCCTCCCTCAAAAAGGGAGTGGGAGCCGGAAACCAAAACCAAAAAAAGGTAGTGGAGTGTTGGATTTTATGGCTGGGTTTAGCTCATCTCAGTAATGGCAGTTGCTGCCAGGGCACCACTAAATTCAGTCCCTGGGATCCACACAGGAGAAGCACATCTCTGAGTTCATAGCCAGCATGGTCTACAGAGCAAATTCTAGGACAGCCAGGGCTACACAGAGAAACCTTGTCTTAAAAAAACAAAACAAAAAATTCTAAAGAAAAAATGGCTTTTCCAGGCTATATTACAAATTGTGCTCCTAGGCAAAATCTGATTAGAAATTGAATTCCTGCCTAACCTCACCAAAAGTCCTAAGAGTCATTTTACAGAGGTACGAGAAATGGACACACGCCAGATATGGAAACAGCTATGGCAGTCAAAGTCATGTCGACTTAATGTGCTCTCATTTCTCAAGTCCTTAGATTGTATATGGCTCCCGTGGGGCGCCAGGATCCACTGTCCAGATTGTAGGAGCCTCGTGAGGCCAACATCAGGAAGCAGCTTAGTGTTACAAGGTGCCAGCCACACTTGCTTTTTTTTTTTTTTTTTTAATTTGACTGTCTAATTCCCTGAAAGCATATGTACAAATGACATTGCACAGACCGGACAGGTTCTATTTAGGAACTACATATGTATAGAGATATGTGTGTGTGTGTGTGTGTGTGTGTGTGTGTGTGTGTGTGTGTGTGTATAACAAAAAGAGAGCATGGATTTGAAAGAGAGCAAGAAAGAGTATATGGGAGGATTTGGAAGGAGGAAAGGTAAGAGCAAAGTGCTGTCATTATAATCTCAAAAGAATCTAAGACATTTTCTTCTAGAATGCTGCAGGACTCTACTCTGAGCCATATTCCCAGTCCACACCCATAGACCGCTCAGGAGAGTCAGCCCAACTCAGTGTCTCAGCCTGTCAAGTGTAGCTACTGGCCCACAGTAAGGCACCTCCCCTTCCTTCCTCAGCACGCATGGCTGTGAGCCCTTGTGCTTATTTTCAGTTTGAGAAACTGCTCAGTAACTTAAATATGATTATGTGGCATATGGTAATATCTAAAACACTAGCACAATACCATCTTGGAACTTGTAAAGACTTTGTGCAGTGTGTACCTATGCAATGGTTATTTGGCTTTTCTGCTGTTCAGGGAATCTGGTATGTAAAGTGACGTGTGGGGGAATGAATGCATTAGTTTCAGTAAGCCACTTCAGGCTTTTGGTTTGGTCTGGCCTTTTAATGCTGCCCAGGCTAGCTTGGAACTTGCCTGGTGGTTCAGGCTAGCATCTACTGATCTGTCCTAGCGCAGGCCCCTTGCTGCTGTGATTACAGGTGTTCACCATTGCACCTAGCTGCGCTTTCTCTTAAGGCCCCACAGAGAAGTTGAGATGTGGCGTGTTTGAGTATGTCTGGAATGTGGCTCTGTGGGCTAGAACAGATTACGTTCTGAGATTTTAATCTAGAAGAACAAAGGGCAAGGAAGGTAGCAGTAGCAACTATTTGGATTTATTTAGTTATTTTTGGTGTTGTGGAACAGGGTCTTCTGTAGCCCAGGAAGGCTATCAGTTCATGATCCTCCTATCTCCACCTCTGAAGTGCTAAGGTTATAGGCATGTTTCATGACACCTGGCTTGAACTGGACTTTAAAAGAAACAAAAATTCTGAAATGAGATACGTGATGCTTTTCTGGTTCTAGTGGTCTTTATTAGTTTACCTCACATTTAATTACAGACTGCTTGAGCCACGTGACATTCTAGTCAACAGTGGTCTTATCTCACCGAGTGAGATCATACCTTTTAGTTAAGTAAGTACACTATGGTGTTTGCCCAGTGATGACGTCAAGTAATGACACATTTTTCAAAATGTGATACATAACTATGTTTTGTCAAATATAAGACGGTAGAACAGTCAGGACAGTAGTTATTGAGACTTCTGGGGAAAAATAGCTCTCAGATCAAAATTTTTTTTACACTTTCCTCCTAACTGACATTACAGTTTTTCAGTTTCTTCTCTTAGGAGCCAAGAGGTGCAGTAGTCATTGTGTCTCCACTAACTCAGAAATGGACCATCATTGTTGCTGCTCTTATCAAATGGACCTTCTCTTGCATGACAGTAAAACTGTGCCCAGAAGTGCTTGCCAGGATCTCTGTTTCACTAACCTGTTTTCCCCCTTTTAGTCTGTAGATGTTGACTGGCCACCTGCTTTGGATGACTAGCTCTCCCAGTGGAACACAAAGCGTTTTCCTGTCGTGACAAGGACATACAGGCGGCGTATCCTGGAAAATGGCTGTTTACCCACCATAACGGTGTCTTCAAAACCACTTGGATCATGTTGATCTGTTCCTGAAGTTCACTGTAACATCTCACGATCTTCATGTGTGTGTGTTGTGTGCTCTGTCGTTTGTTTGTTTGTTTTTTCTCATTCCCTGTCTCATGACCACAAAACCAAAAGAGGAAGGATCTACCCATCTTCTGAGAGGTGTGCAGTTGAGGTCCTGTCAGCCTAGGGAGCTGTGGCTCCTCCAGCGCAATCTCGTACAGGAGACGATACCTTTAAAGCCACGTGCTAAAGCTTCCGGGTCTTCCAGACATGGTGTAGAGTGTCCGGGTATTCTAGAATGTCAGATGCAAAGCTGATACTAATGTTTTCCCAGTCCCTCATGGAAGCTGTCATCAATGGAAGGACTTTAAGGTATGATCTGTCACAGTGCTAATGACCGCGTTACTGTTGACAATCTAAAACTGTCAATACATGTCTGCTATAGAAGGCAAGCGACACCTTAACACTGGCGGCATACTCTAACATTCCCTAAGCCCCTTAAGAGAAACAAGTGCCTTCGATATGTCTGTCCCAGGGTTACAGATTGGAGACTGCTAAACAAATACAAACATATTTCCGTGTTTCAACTACTTTCTAACTTCAAACATCTTGGTAAGGTATATCTAGCATTATATCTAATTTCATAAACAAGAAAACAAAAGTTAAATGATCCCTAAAATTTTAGTTGCTCGTGTAAGCAGGTTTGGAGCAGAAGTTGTGTTTCCAGGCTCCTTCCTATAACCCTTGTCAGGGGACCTGTGCCCCTGTGATGGCAGTGCCCCCGAGCGTGCCAGGAAGGTTACACAACCAGGTCAGGTAGCCTCCCAAGGAACGGCTATGTATGTCTTACATGAGTTTGTATAGTCACCATTGGTGATGCATGATGAAGAGAAGTCTTAAACATATTGAACCAGAAGATGAATTAATCATTAGAAACTCCAGAAGGAGAACTCAATAAAATATGGGTTTAAGTATTAACTTTCATCAGCTGGTGCAATTTCTTGAGTTATTTTTTATACATTGATTTGAATAGTATTCATGTTTCTCTTCTCTGCACGAAATTCACAGATCCTTAAGATGTACTTTAGATATTATATCAGGAAAATGTTTTTGATTGAGATAAAGGGCAGCCTTTGAAGCCGTGTTCATCATATGTGGATAATGGCAAAGGATATTTTCATTGTCAGAAAATTCCAGAGGGTTAACAGAACTTAACTGATAAAAAGTTAAAAGTTAAAGACTTCTGATGAATATTTCTCAGCTTCTGTTAAAATTCTGCTACAAAAGTGAGTTAAATAATTTAGGAAAAGTCTTTTGCATGCTTCTTTTAGTTCAGTTCTGAACCCAGTGGACATAAAACATGGAGGCCGGGAACTTCCAGAAAGCCATTTCTTGAATTATTTCCTGTTGAAGGATAAGCAGTATGTCCAGATATCCTCAGGGCTTGGGGACACAGGGTTAGGAAGTCTTGTAGGTTTGGGTCCTTTTGTCACACAGTGTTTTGTTACTGTTTCCCTTCTATCAACTTTGTTTAAGCTTGAAGCAATGTTTGTCATTTGTAGAATGAGCTCTTTGTTGCAGATATAATCTCTAGTTTATTTTAGAAAAAAAAATTAATTCAACTGAAGAACTCTAGAAAAAAATAGAATTGATAACTGAGATTTTTCCTAGTAAGGTCACTGGTTACCTTCGCAGGTTAAATTAAGTGACTTAATAAGTTAAATTTCCATTTCCTAAGAGAAAAAAAGCAGATTTCTTTTTCATTTAGAGCTTTATTTTTTTTAATTAAATTTATTCTTTGACAGTTTCATACATGAAGATAATACACAGTGGTCACACTTAGCCCACCTTTCTCTTTTGTTTTGTTTTTGTCTGTGTAGCCCTGACTGGAATGCACAGGTTTCTGCCTGACTCTCCCTCAAGGCCCTGGAACGAAAGGCCAGGGCCACCACACTGCCCACCACCTCATTTCCCTCCCATCCGCAACACGAGACCCCTTCCCACTTCATGTCCTCGTGACCCACTGAGATTAGCCAGCTTTCTGGAATTGCATGTGGAAGACAGCGAACTCACAGATCACTCAGCATTTAAGACAGTGCCCCTTCAAGCATCTATCAACCGCTAGTGGTTCCTCAGGGAGGGGCAGGGCCCAGGAGCCCCATCCTGACCCATGCAGGCATCTGCAGGTGCCGGGAGTTCTTGATTGCTACAGTTATGTGATCTTGGCAAGAAGGTTATGTCTGAGCATTCCTCATCTGAGCTGAGCCAGCTCATCTGCTATTTCTTCTCCTTAGTCTTTTATTTTTAAATCCACACATGAGAATGAATTGTGTGAGGTAAGCTTTGTGAGGGAGGTCATTGGAGATAGGGTTTCAGTTTATAGCTTGCACTGGACTTGAATTTAGGACCTTCCTTCCTCTGCCTCTCAAAAGTGTTTGAATTATACTCATGAGCCACAGCCCCCAGTCCAGATGTAAGCTTTTCTGTTCTGTTTTAAAATGGTACTTGCTTGGTTAGGGTTTCTACTGCTGTGATGAAACACCATGAACATAAGCAACTTGGGGAGGAAAGGGTTTATTTTGCTTACACTTGCATCACAAACAGAAGTCAGGGCAAAGAACTCAAGGCAGGAGGCAGGAACGGAAGCAGAAGCCAAGAAGGAATGCTGCTTACTGGCTTGCTCTTTGTGGTTTCCTCAGGCTGCTTTTGTTTGGCACCCAGGACCACAAACTCAGGGGTGGCACTGCCCACAGCGGGCGAGGCCCTCCCGCATAATCAAGAATGAAGATTGCACTCCAGGCTTGCCTAAGACCGAGCTTACAGAAGCATTTTCTCAACTGAGATTTCCTCTTCCGAGATACGCCAGGTGTATGCAAAGTTAACATGAAAACTAGCTAGCAGAGTACCTTTTTATTATTAGGAAAAAAGAATTATGTTCATATCTTTAAAATTTTTTTATTTCAAAATAATTCTAGACTTAAAAGGACTAAGTACAAAGGGACTTTTCCACTGGGTTGCGGAGTCGGCAACACTTCACCGTCTCAACAGACTCATGTATAATTCCTAGAAGACGTAAGTCCCACAACACCCACCATACCAGGAAGTTAGCATGAGAGACCACCGTCCTCTAACCCGAACGCTTCGCTCCCGTTGCCACTTGTCACAGACTTCATGATCCAGCCACCAGCCCACTTTGCAGTCAGCGCTTCTGTTGACACTCACGAGAGCAATTATTTAGTAGCCCACTGCTCCAGCTCCGTTTTACCTGCTACTAGACGTAGGCCTGTGAAGAAATGCTTTGGTTTTTGTTTGTTTGTTTTTCTTCGCACCTTTCTGAGTGTCAGTTCCAACAGGTCCAGTTACTGAGGGGTGGGTGTTGCTGGGTAAGGTATTGTCTGTCACCCTGTCCCAGTCGCAGTGTGCCTCTTCTCTCCCTTGCAGTCGGGCCAGCGTTTCACTCTTCAGATTTAGTATCCACTGAAGATCTCCGCTAGACTGACTGCCAGATTCTGCCGTTGTTTTTGCATGTGTTGATGGGGCATCCCACCGAAAGGCAGGGCCTTTCCTTCTCTCACTGCACTCGCTCACCGCATCCGTGTGGACCGTGGCCTTGCTTTTGCTCTTTGTGGGGTTGGGGATTGAACCAAGACAAAGCATCACTCTCACTAAGCTGAACACTCCACTCTCAGGTTCCCATGTTATTCAATGAGGTGGTCATTTGTTACTAATACTGTTCCTAAGTATTGGTCAGAGCAGTGAGAATTCTCAAGCTGTCCTTTTGACATTATCTCCATCATTCTTTGAGTATATTCTTTCTATAAAACAAAGCTGCTCCATGCTTACCTTTATATTTCCTCTGCACCAGCCATGAAATAAATAGGCAATTCCTCTACGAAGACCTGGTTCCAGTTGTGGAAATGGTATTTTTCTAGAATAAGCCTCTTACATTTATTATATGTGTGTTCACGCATGGACAGTTCACATGTGGCCAGGTCAGTTCTTGATACCATGTGGTTCTGGGGAGTAAACGTGGGCCATCAGGCTTGGCAGCAAAGAGGAAATGCTTCCAAACTCTGATGGCAAAACCCAACAAAGATATCATTAAGGGAAAACTCAGGCCAGTATCTCTGATGAACTTACATGAAAAACATTAAGATTCTACCAAGACACTGAGCCATCTCACTGACTGAAAAGTATTTAAAAAAATTTTTTTTTTTTTTTTTTTTTTTTTTTTTTTTGAGACAAGATCTCATATAGCCCAGGCTGGCCTTGATTTACTATGTAGCCAAGAATGGTCTTGAACTTTTGACCTTCCACATCCAAGAGCTTGGACTACACATGTATGTCATGCTTGCTCTATGTGATGCTGGAGGGAAGGGTCACAGGCAAGCTAGAGAAGGAACTGAGCTACAGCCCCAAACCCAGAAAGGTGTTTGTTGTTACTGTGAACTGCTGTTCCTAAGCCCTCTCACAGAAGACACATCTAGAAATACACTGAAAGCTATGAGCATAATGTCAGTATTTTCAATGCCTGCCATCCAGTTCTCCCTTTCAAAATTCTTAATTCTCTGCTCTGATGGTACATCTGACTCTCATTTGCCTCAGTATATGCCATAACATGTACACTTATATAACCCTTAAAAATGGCCAGCCTCCTATTGCTTCCTTCTTATTCCAGATCACTGCAGTGCTATTACCCACAAATCAATACAATCTGAACAGACTAATAATGATTTAGGAGATCAAACTAAGAAAAGTTTCAAAGAAAAAAAATGTCTAGGACCTGATGGTTTCACTGCTACCAAACATTTAAAGAACTGAGAGCAATCTCCAACTCCCCTAAAGCAAGCAAAGAGGAAATGCTTCCACTCTGATGGCAAAATCCAACAAAGACATCACTAGGAGAAAACTCAGATCAGCATCCCTGATGAGCAAACATGAAAAAAATCAATACGCCAGCAAGACAAATTCAATAGCATACTCAAAAGGTAGCTGCTCACTTTGAGCACCTGGGACCACCTCAAGGACTCAATGATGCTTCAATATGCCAAAAGCAGTCATAATTCCAATGTCATTTTTAGCAGGGCCGTTCTAAGATATGTATGGAACCACAAGAGAGCAAGCAATCAAAGTGAGTTTAAGCCAAAAGAACAAAGTTGGAGAGGGGAATGGTGACTCAACCTGAAATCCTAGGACTCAGGTGGCAGGTATGGGAAGATCATGAGTTTGAGGTATACAGCAAGATGCAGGCCAGTCTGACCCCCTTTCAAAATTGTAAACAACAAAGACTGAGGATATCACTCAGCCAACAGAATGCTTGCTCAGCATGCATGAGTCCCTGGATTCCATGCTCAGTACCTTGTTAAACTGGTGTGGTGATCATGCCTGAAACCCTAGCACTTGAAGGGTAGAAGTGGGAGAATCAAAAGTTCAGGTTCATCCTCAGTGACACAGGAACTGTGAAGCCAGCCTAGACTACAATATTTGATTTCAAAATGTCCTGATAATTACAGTAGTCAAAATAGTATGCATTTGCCCACATTATACCCACAAACTCCAGTCCAGAAATAAGTTCATGCATCTACATACAGCTGATTACTGACAAGTGTCAACACAATGGGGAAAGAACAGTAAAAGGTGTTGGGAACTGGGTCTACCAGCATCTGCATGCAATGAGCTCCTTAAACCACACCATATTAAAGGTCACCTGAAAACCACCTCAAATCTTCAGAGCTGAAACTAAAACTAGGGGGAAAACGAGGAAAAACATCTTGATTGTGATCTAGGCAATTGTGCTTCTGTATTTGTCACCAAAAGTGAGACAAGACAAATGGAATTAATGAAACAACAACAAAAAAGGCTTCTTTGGAGCAGCTAAGGAAGAATAAAGTGAAAAGACAACCTGTAGAATGGAAGGAAATATTTGAAAATATACTGTAAAATGAACTTTTATTCGCTTGCTTCAGTGATGGTCTCGGAGGATTACTGCCTCCTATTAACCTAGGCCTAGTCCTAGAAGCTTCTGGCCTCCTTAAAATCTAACCTAGATCTTAAACATTTTCAGCCTCTGAGACTTACTGCTTAATATGTTCACCTTTGGATAGCCCAGACTGGCATAAGCCATTTGTGGTGGTACATGCCTTTAATTCTAGCACTCAGAGAGGGCAGAGACTGATTGATGTGAGTTCAAGGCCAGCCTGGCCTACAAAGCAAGTCCAGGATAGCTAAGGCTACACAGAGAAGCACCTGTCTGAAGGTGGGGGCGGCAAACATTGGATTGCAGCAACAGCTACTGAATTAGATCAACCTGTAACACTTCAAAGATGTTTTAACATCAGACTGGAACTCAGGGAATATGTTACATTGGGGAAGAGGTTTTGCCTATATTTTCATACTTGATGAAAGACTGGGTTGCATCAAAATTAATAAAGGTCCAATCCGAATAAGAGAAGCTTTCAAGTGAAAGGCATGACTCAAGGAAGAGATGAAGAAAGACAACAATGCAGATGACACAGAAAGCAGATCCCCTTTGCATGGAGACAGCTTAACAAACCAGCTGAAGAGAGACAGACGGTTCATTAGACTGGCAGACCGGAAAAGCTTGATGCTGAAAAGGACTGTTGCTGAGGACCAGGACTGCAATTACCGAAGATCATTGCATTAGTGGCTGAGTGGATCTTCATAAGGACATTCGGACTGTTAAGTTTGTGATAATGAGAATTGTTTCTATTGTAAAAGTTAAACTGTGTGAAATCTTTAGCTTAAACAGAAGGGGGGAAGTTGTAGGAGAATTTTAATTCAGACACGGCTGCTCTGGCAAGAGATCAGATCCAAAGATCTAGGTCTGTGTGATCTGGCTAGAATACAAACACACCTTTAATCCAGAAGATAGAGGCAAGCAGATCTGGGTTCAAGGCCAGCCTGATAAAGAGCAAGTATCAGGTGAAGAAAAGCTTAGGTCCAGGTGTGGTGTACACACCTTTAATCTCAAACAATGAAGGTAAAGTTAGTTTGTAGAAGAAAGTACCCTTGTTTGAAAGAGAAGTCTAATTGAGTGGCAGAAAAAGTGACAAATCAGAGAAAGATCTGACAGAATAAGATATGCCCAACTCTCACGAGAAGAAAGAGGAAAGGAAAGCTACTTAAGGGACAATGGGAGAAAGAGGAGGCAGGTTTTTGTTTGCTTGTTTGTTTTTAACCAGTACAGTAATAGAGAAATGTGTTTCAGAGAAAGAAGTCAGGTGAAGACCAATGAACCAGAGAATGAGAAGGAGCCAGACGATTATAAAAGACTGCTGGAGATAGTTTGAGGTCAAGCAGAGCAACTCAGGGAGAGAGAGAGAGAGAAGGCATATTGAATAAGTCAGCTGGGAGAGCAATTTAAGCCAGAACAGCTGAGTTGAACCAGCCAACTATGAGTTCAGAAAGGGTGAGTATATTAAGCAGTAAGTCTCAGAGGCTAAAAATATTCTAGGCCTAGGTTAGATTGTACAGAGGCTGGAAGCTTCTGGGACTAGGCCTAGGTTAGCAGAAGGAGGCAGCAAGCCTCCCACAACAATTGAACCAGGCGAATAAAAGTTCATTTTACAGTACACATCTGATAACAGGTTGCTATCCAACACTCAACCCAACAGCAAGAACACAAAGGATGCCTAGGTGTGGTGATGCCTTTAATCCCAGCATCTGGAAGGAGGAGCAGGCAGAGCTCTGAGTTAAGAGGCCAGCCTGATCTCCTTAGCAAGTAAAAACATGTTTAAAAGAGAAAGGATGTAGTTGGTAAAATGGACCAAACCCACTATATATGTTCTCAAAAGAAAAAAGGCCAATAAGGCAATAGAGAAAACCTCATTAATCATCGGTGAATTGATAGGATACCACTTCATACTTATTAGAATAGCTGTTACTAGTAAGAGGGAAGATAGGGGCTAAAGAGATGGCCCAGCACTAAGGATACTTGCTGATCTTGCAGAGGATCCAAATTCAGTTCCCAGCATCCACACACAGGTAAGAAGCTGGTAAGACTTGCAGTATGTAGAAACCCTGCAGTGTTGGTGAGTGTACGTTGGTCCAGCTATTATGGGAGTTCCTCAATGAGGAAACCAGAACTACGATGTCATCTAGCAATCCCATTCCTGGGTTTATGTCTACATCCCAGATATACAGTGTAATGGTATTCAGCCATTAAAAAAGGAAATCCTATCATTTATAAAAATGAGGATAAACATAGAATAACGTGAGGCACAGAAAGACAAAACAGGATATAATTTATAGATGAAATCTAAAAATGCTCAAGTCATAGAATGGGATGTTGGAAGCTCAGAGTGCACTTGAGAGGAACTGAGGAAGTGACTGGTCAAAGGACACAATTTTGGGGTCATCTTTAAAGAATAAAATTGGGGCAGGTGAGATGGTACAGTGGGTAAGGGTACCTGCCCCTAATCTGATGACCTGAGTTTTGATTCATGGAACCCACATGATGAAAGGAGAGAACTAACCCTGCAGGCTGTTTGCTGGCCTCCACACATGCTCTCACACACAAATAGACAAATAACATTTAACAAAAAAAAAAAAAAATTGAACCTAAAACTGTGAGAGAAAGAACACACAGCCCTGGGCTCGCTCTCAGCCTCTGCTCTCTTCCATGGCCCCTCACGTCTCACCCCGTGTAAGGGCTCTGAGACAGCCACCTGCAAGCCATGAAGAGAAGTCTCAAAGAACCTGACCACACTGCCACCTGGAGATGGCTACTGAAAGAATCAGACTAATTTTGTAACCTGTTTCTTTTAATTGCCTTATAACTTATATTTTCAAGTTTTAGGCCCATGTTAATTAAAGCCTCTTAGAGCTTCTCCAGAAAGCCGAGGAATGTAAAAGTTCCTGACATCAGCTATCTGTGAGGGCAGAGATAAGGAAGAGAACAAGCAGAGATCCCTACTAAATGGAGAGTAAATCACCGGCTGGCGACTGTAAAATGAGCTTTGTTTGGAAACCGAGAGGAGTTAATCGCTCTCCCACCTTTAACTGTAGCTATATCTCATATGGCAGGAAATTCCAAACTGACTAGAAGATCAGATATTTACGACAGGACTGACCACACCTAAGGGTGACCAGAACTAACCAATTATTTTAAAAGTTAAACACCTCATCCAATCCCGAATTGCCAAGATAGCAACCCCAGGAGATTCCCGCCTTGTGTCTTTTAAAAACCTAAGGTCTTTGTCTCCCGGTGCCACTCCTTGCTGACCAGCAGCGGTGACCCCATTGCGCAAAGGTCAGAATGAACCTCTTGCGATTTTGCATCAATGGATGATTAGTTTCCTGAGTTCTCTTCATACCTTCTTATATTTAGGCTCTTGCTGGGCCTAACAGCTACATCCTAGTCTGCAGAAACAAGCAGAAACAAGCTGGGTGTGGTGGCCCACGACTTTAATCCCAGCACTCAGGGAGCAGAAGCGAATTGCTGTGAGTTTGAGGCCATCCTGGTCTACAAAGCAAGTCCAGGACAGCCAAGGCTATGCAGAGAAACCTGTCTCAAAAAAAAAACAAAAAAAAAACCAAAAGAGGAGGAGGAGCAACAGGAGGAGGAGGAGGAGGAGAGAAGGAGGGGGGAGAGGGGAGAGAAGGAAGAAGGGGAGGAGGAGGAGGAAGAGGAGAAGAAGACAGCTAGCATAGTTCCAGGACAGCTTGAGCTACAAAGTAAGACCCTGTCATGAAAAAGCAACAACAAAAGCCATTTCTTAAGTCTCTTCTTGAGACTACCATTTCAAAGAGTAGTTAACAGACAGAAGCACCTCCTGAGAACACTTTATAAAGATATCTAATGTCTCTAAACAACCCCAAATAGCTACCCCTTATTACAAAAAAGTTAAAAACAATAAGGAAACTTCATTGATACTTTGTTAGCAAATAGCAAAGTTTTAGAAAATGGTTTATTTGTTATATCACCAAGAAAAAAAAAATCACAGTATACAAAGATATTGCAAAAGTAACACAATATTCTGTACAATAAAATACATCTTTACATTAAAAAAATATTTCATCTTGATATAAAGGTAACAGTATCAGAACTTTAAAAAACAATTCATTATTTATCATCAATCATATAAAATCAGTTTCAAAGCAGAAAGCTCAGTGGTAGAGCACTAACTCTAACATGTATGAGAGAGACTCTGGGTTCAATTCCAGTGTGATGCCCCCTTCCTCTTCTCTCCAAAATGTAGAGTGTGGTGACATATGCCTACAATCCCAGTACTCAGAAGGGAGAGGCAGTAGATATTAAATTTAAGGTAAAAACAACAACAAAAGATGTCACTTGTTTTGTTGGGCTCTATTAACCAATGGCATTTTAAAATTATCTGACTGATGGCTGACGGAGGCCCCCAGTGTTGCCCAGGCTGAACCTGAATTCCTCCCTCCAGCCTCAGCCTTCTAAGTGTTGGAAGCCGCAGGCATGTGTCACTACGGCTGGTTCACTATGAGGTCTAGTGAAGACTGGATGTCATGCAATTATCCCACAGGCCTCCAGCCCTATCTTACTCCACAGTTCATGGGAAGTTACACTTTGGTTAATGAAGCTTAGAAAGAAAATTAGACAAGATGAATTTGGTATTTTAACAAAAAATTTACAGATCTGCTGTTGGGAGCTGTTGATCTGCCAGCTGCTTTGATAGTTAAATCTCAGTGGAACGACTGCTTTTACCAGGCCTTCACTGAAGTCAGGGAAGAATTCGCAAGTCCATCTCCTTTTGTTTGTGACAGCAGGTGGGATAGCTTGTGAAGATCACACTCTAGCTTCACCTCCTTGTAAATTTAACCCATTGTTCTGAGCTGTTTTTACTCTGGCTTAAAAGTTCTCTGTAATAAAGTCAGGCGGCTGCTGGCTGGTCAGGTTTGGAGCCTCTTGGAAAAGTCCCATGTGTGTTGTGTGTTTAGTTTATTAATTTTAATCCTCACTCCCAACTCAAGAACCATTCAACTCTGCTGGCAGGCTCCGGCAATCTGCTAATAGCCCTAAAACGTCAATTTGTTGAGGAACCAACTTTGTAATTGAATTCAAAGTATTCAATGAATTTTGTTTGTGAGGGTTTTGTTTTTTTGTTTTATAATGTTGTTCCATGTAGTCCTGGCTATCCTGGAACTTGCTCTGTGGATCAGACTGGCCTCAGACTCACAGAACTCATTGACTGTCTCTGCTCCTCAAGCGATGGGATTACCTGAGTGCTGGGATTAAAGGCACCACTACCTGGCTTGTTTGTGATTCTTTAAAGTTCCAAAAACTTGAAAAATATAAAGAACGAAAACTCCTGAAGTTGTTAGGAGGCAGAAACAGGCAGACTTGTGTGAGTTGTAGGCCAGTCGGGGCTACAACAGGGTACCCTGCCTCAAAGCAAAACAAAAACCAAGCAAACCAAAAGACCCTCTGCAGCTGTAGAAACAAGCTGATTAAACAAGCGGCAACCGCCTCAGAGCCATGCTCGGAAAAGTGCAGTTGCTTGTTAAAAAGTTACGTCTTTATAGTAAAAAAGAGGGTGGGGCACAATGCAGAGTACAGACCACTGCCTCAGACTGGGGACGCAGAGGCCTCTGAGTTAGAGGCCAGCCTGGTCTAGAGGGTGAGTTCCAGGACAACAGGCTACACAGAGAAACCTGTGTTTGGGAAAAACAACCTCCCCCCCCCCCAAACAAAACAAAACAAAACAAAAAAAAAACCCAAAGCAAGACAAAAAACAATGAGGATGCAAGTGGGTTTTTGGTCTTTTTGCATACATGAAAAAAAAAATGTGATTACTTTTGAGACTTGATCTTATCTACTATTGACCTCATGCTTTAAATTCTGCCAGGATGTTCAGTTAAAATATTAATGTGAGCCAGGTGCAGTAGCACATACCTGAAATCCCAGCACTCTGGGAGGCGGAGGCAGAGACAGATCTCTGTGAGTTCGAGGCCAGCCTGGTCTACAAAGTGAGTCCAGAGAAACCCTGTCTCGAAATCTATATATTCGTGTGGCTATGTCTTAAAGGGAAGAAAGACACTGGATAAACCCGACGCCTTCATCCCTCCTGGCCCACCGCTGGGCTTGCAGGAGTCGCGTGGGCTTTGCACATAGGACACAGAAGCAGTCTAGCCTCTGCATACTCAGCCTCTGAAAACAAACCTGAAATCTTGCAGAAGCACCTTCACATATGTCAAAGTACTCCCAATGAAAAACCCAATTTTTACAGAGAAATCCAGTCACACATTTTCAAAGTAGAGCCAATAACCAATATTTCCCTTGATAAGAAAGCATACTCTGAAAGAGTAAGGCCTCCAAAAGCTTCTCCACAGCTGTCAACTTAGACATTAGTCTAAAGAGAAACCTGTGTCATAGTCTCACAAAGCGTTTCCTCCCCTGTGACTTTTCTCTCCTGGGTGATGAGAATGTTTGGATAGTAGACCAATCAGGACTACATGAGGAACACAGCTATTGGTTTGTTATCTTTGACTTACATATTGCAATTTAAAGTGTTTCTTTTCAGACATCACTTAGTACAAAGCACACCCTGGGAAGCATGACGGCCAGGTTTTTGTTTTTCTGGGGGTGGGCACTGAATCTTGGGCTGTGCATGCTAGGTGCTCCACCACTGAACTATACCAAAGAACAATCCCCACCGCCACCCCATTTTCACTTTATGTTTTGAGATAAGAACTCACAAAGCTGTTCCCTTGAACTCACTCTGCAGACAGGGCAGGCCTTGAACTTGTGATCTGTGTGCCGGAGTATCTGAGATTCCAGGCCAGAACCAGCAGACCTATCGAGGCTAACTGACTAAAACCAGTCTCTCTTCTTTATATTTTTTTCACACTGTCTGAGAGCTTATGGTAATTTTTCAATATATTAATTTATGATTAAAACAATATGGTACAATTATCCTGGATTGCCAGTTCTAGGTCTCACCATGGAAAATGTAGTTTTTCTGAGGCTGTGGAAACAAGCCAGAGCACAGCATGACAAACTGACAACCCAGTTACTCTACACTAAGATTCTTTTAATGGTGAATTAATTAGCAAAGGAAAAGGCTGTTAGGACAGGAAGTCATCAGGCTCTGATGACAGGGGTCAGAACAGAAGTTTAGAGGTGCTGATAAGAACCTCTGGGGTCCCAAACACGGTGGCTACACAGTTTTCACACAAGCAAAACTTCTTCACATTGTACCTCAAAGTTTTTCCATGCTTCTATGGTTGACTGTATGTATGATTCCTCTTAAGAAAAAAACCATCTTTAAGGACAAGAGTGCAACATCATTCGCTTATTTTCTACACAGAACATAGTACACTGTACAATACACAGTCACAAGGATGTCATATAATTTACGGCATGAACGCTGGCTACTGACATCTGTGCGGGCAAACTGTCACGGGGTACTTCAGGGGCACTTGAGATACGACATGCCACATGCAGAGGCAGGATTTCCACCTGATACTGTTGGTACTACGATTTCCAAGAGAGCTGCTTTGGGTCTCAAAGGGCCTCAGGGTAGTTTTTATGCTCTTCTTTTATAATGTTGTTGTCGTAATTCTGGGTATCAAACACAGGGCCGTGGTCTACCACAAAGTTATGTGCCAGTGTCTGCATATTTCTTTTTTTTTTTTTTTTTTTTTTTTTAAGAGAAAGGCCGTCTGCCAGAAGAAAAGTATGTCTCACAAGACAGGTCATCTAGGCCTATTTTTCCTGAAGGGTGAAGCACTTTTCTCATTAAAAACCGTATCCTCAAATACGATTTTTATAGTCACCCTCCCATGTCTAACAAATAGCTACCATTTATTCAGCACCAATGATGCCAGAGTCTGTGTCAAGTGCCGGAGTCCCGAGTGAGACGCACACTTAACCGACTTAAGTCTGTAACATGGGAGCATAGCACACAGCTACACCTCACCTCGGCTGCAGCAGCAGGACCAGACCCTCCCTGCAGAGAAGCTGCTGCTGAAAGGTAAGTGTTAGGAGCAGAGGCAGAATGGGCCACATAGACGGAGATCCGCGGGAAAAATTCAACATCTTCCAACCACAAAGTTAAAAGGAACAGGGTGCCTAAAAAAAATGTTGAGCATATGGAAAAGATATTTATTGGAGAAAAAGAATGAAGAGATGCAAGAGCCTTTGAGTAGGAAGACTCAAAAGGACTATGTATGAATTGAGGAAAATCAAATATGACTGAGCTTTCTGTTAAATATATCTAGTGTCAGCAGTAATGCAACTGGAAAAGCAGAGTGTAAGAGAAGGCAGTTGATATGAGCATTCACACAGCATGAGAGAAAGCTGCCGCAGTGGTCTGATGAGAGTACCTCCTGAGGGCTGGGCTTAGGAACCCAGGGGATGCAGTCCCTCAGCAGGCTGCAGGCTGTGGACAGGGCAGATGAGTAGGGAAAAAAAGACTTGGGATTTGACAAGGAATGGGGTGAACTAAAGACAGATAGATGAGAAGATGGAGGCACAGCACTTCAAAGTTAAACGTGGAAGGAAGGGGCACCATGTGAATAGGGTTTTTGGAACTTTGGGGGATATTTTTCAGCACTTCCTTTAAAGCTCAAGAAGATATTTATTCTGTTTATACAAAGGAAGCAAAAACTAAATGGTGATGTGAGGATACTGGGGAAAGGAGGAAAGATGTAGTGGAAAGTGGAATTTGGATCCCTTCAAAGCCAGGCGAACACAAATGCAACCAGGGAATCATGTAGCAAATGCGCTGTAAGTTATAAGATGAGCTGTGATCAGCCAGTAGCACCCGGAAGTAAAACATCAACTGCAAACACTCTACACACAGATGCAGAAGTACCTTACTTCAACTTAGAGGAGAAACTGTGAGACGAGTCAATGTGTAAGCACCATCTGCTGAGCGTTCTAATAGCTGTGTCTGTTAGTGCCTGCTCATACAAAATGCCTGTGATTAGTCTGAGCTGGGCATGTATGCCTCTCCCAGCAAAGCTCTGTCTATGATCCCCAGCACCACATGACTGTGGTGTGGGGTATACACTGGTCATCCCAGCATTCCAGAGGCAGAGCAGGAGGAGCCTCAGGTCAAGGTCACCTTTGGCTACATAGCAGGTTTGAGGCCACCTAGTCTCAAACAAAAGTTCAAAAGAGGTGGTCAGCTTTGCAAATATATCGAGGGAATGGCCTTCTGGATTTGCTGATTGGACAAATATGGGAGACAAAAGAAGAATCAAGGGTGGCATCAAGGTTTTTGCCTTAGCTGGAAGCCTGGCATGACAATTTACATTGCCTTAGCAGCTGGAAGCCTGGCGAAGACTGAAGGACAACAAGTCTGAGAGAAAAGTTCAAAACTTAGGTATGAATATACTAGGCTAAAACAAATGTTATGTTTTCTTTTTTTTCCACAGGGGTTGAACACAGCATCTTGCAAATGTTAAGCAAGCCCTACCACTAGGTCACAGCCTTAATCTTTTCTATTTTTGAGACAAAATGTTCAGCCCAAGCTGGTACTGAACTTATTACTATATAGCTCAGGCAAGTATTGAACTTGCAGTCTCGAGTAGGGAGATGACAGACATGAGCCAGACTATCTGGTTAATTCTTCATAGAGAAGTAGACATGCTTTATGAGATCAAAGGTGGATCAAAGGCATCTAATGAAGAAAAGGCTCACTCAAGAAAAACTCTTTTTCTTGAAAATATGGGCATAAAGCTAATTTCATAAGTTTAAAGATAAGGGTCTAAATAATATAGAATAGAAAAAAAAATCTTCCATGTGTTGAAAGCTCACTTCAGCACGTGTGACACACACACACACACACACACACACACACTCTCTCTCTCTCTCTCTCTCTCTATCTCTCTCTCAAAATACCAAGAAATCTCAGAAAACCCCTTAGGGGTCACTTTGGCCTATGGGCCTTAACAATAATGAATTTATTTCCCAATGGCATAGCCATTACATGTTTTACCTTATATCTGCTTGAAAGCAAATATCAGTTCATTTAACTAATACATTAATACGTTATGAAAGACACATAGCTTGTCTTAGAGAAATACGGAAAACAGTTCACATCGAGCACATGTACTTTAGGTCTATCTTTCAAAGTAAGAAACAGCAGAGCCTTGTAAAGTTCCTCCTTCTGAACTTTCTCTTTATACTCTATACACCTAAAGTTTTATAGCTCTCTAGATTTATGTCCTGCAAGTTATATTTTAAAAAAACTATAAGCAAAGGCATCACTCAACTGGTCACTTTGCAGAGTATCGATACTTGAATACTGACTACTCTGAACAAAATTATGATTACTTGCTTCATTTGATGGTTCAGGCTCATTTATCAGGCCATTGTCTACACAATTGAAGTTTGATCTATCAAATGCATCTGGCTGGGAAACAAAAGCAGAATTGGCACTGGTGCCTGCTGATATACCCATAGAAGACATCTGATGTAGTTGTCTCAGCTCTTGTGGGTCTAACCTTGAATTACATGAGGGGTTTTCAAGATTGATGCTCACAAGTCTTGGATTATCAGTGTCCCCCATGCTATCACTGCTGGTTGTCATCACATTCACAGGGCGATTAGATAGCATGTTGACATCAGAAATACTATATAAGTCAGCTGGTGACATGGATGATGTTTCCATTCTAGCTAGGTCATCAGTACCATAGAGGCAAGCATTAGAAGCACTTAAATCGCTCGCACTGGGCCCGTCTAGGAATGGAAGGATACCTTGCGAATTAGAGGAAAGTGTCCCCGCTGAGAAACTACTCAGAGTGTTTGTACTGACTGGCTGTGAGGTGGGGTGGGTCACTGATGTCCAGCTGGTAGGCTGATGGACCACTGAGGGTACGGCTGGTGGGTGATGTGGCAATCCACTTGAGATGGAAGCAGACGAAGAATAGTAGGGTTCGGCTTGACTTGGAACTCCTGAAGACCTGGGCATTTCTGCTAAAACTGTACCATGAGAAAACAAGTTTGATTCTGTAGAAAGAAAATATATTTTACAGAGTAAGAACAACAGATTGATGTAGAGCATTATTTCTGAATTAAAATGATAAGAACACACTAAAAATTTTCCAGGGAACTGATACATTGCAAATAAAAAAAAATTAAAGCACAAAATTCATTACATGAACTGAAAGCTAAATTCTGTAACATGTAAACTGCTTTATAAATAGATGAAAAGTGATTTTTATAAGTTATTTTGGCATATGTAATTTTCTTCCAGTTAAATATGAAAATCCAGCTTCTTGTACCATATAGGTACATTTTTAAAATGTAGAAGATAAATATTAGAATATAAATTAACAGGTATCCAACAGCCAAAATCATCTTATAATTTCAACTTTTAAGAGAAAATGGAGAGATGAAGAAGACATCCATTTGGGAAGACTGAAAACTACACATAGTTTTAAAGGCTTATTAAGATATGATCCTAAGGTCTTACAAAATTCCACATCACAAAAACCTGAGGAGAAATTTCTATATTTATTTACATATTACACAAGTATTATACAAACCAGGATAAAGTACCAACTTAAGAATGTAAGATGGAGAACTTGCTAGGGGCTCACAAGATACCTTCTATAAACGGCCAGATCAAGATTTCTGGGGTGAACAATGTGTGCTAGAACTATTTGACTCTGTTGCTGTAGCAGAATTAAGAGGGGCTGGGAATGACAGCAGGGGCTCAGCATGCCTGAGGTCCTTCCCATGCCTACCACATCTATAGAATTTTCTGTGGCACACGGAATTTACCAGTGTATGAATAAAATCCCCCAAATATAGTCAGTTTCATACATAACCTTCAGAGGTAGAGTCCAGTACAATTCAATACTGAAAGTATGAAAATCTGTAGAAAAGAAAAATATTCAAAAAGCATTTGTTAGTAAAAAGTGAAATCACAGTATTTTATAGGGATGAAATACCTTTTTTGATGAATCTTCCTTCTCCAATCGACCCCCCTGGGACAGTTCTTGGTCTCTCAGGAAAGCTAGCTGCTATGATAAAGGTTTTCTATTATTAAATGTAATTTGAAAAATATTTCATCATTTAAAAATCTTTAAAAACAAAATAAATAAAACAAATTTATTTACATATAAATTAATCCAAAATATTCTTACCACAATCTTGCAGCAATTTATGAAAAAGCAGAGTTGTCTTTTGTTTCTTTGACTTATTGCCATATGCATCTGATTAAAAGGGAAAACAGGAAAGCAGTGAATCGTGGGATTCAACCTCCCTTCACCATGAACAGGTGCATTTTTAACATACAGAAATGCTCCAAACAAATGCAAGTAATATGGACCTCTAAGTACATTACTTTGCAATACATCCTGTATCAGTTGAAAAGGATGCTTTTAGTAATTTTTAAAAAGCTTAAAATAGTCATTTTTCACCCAAAAAACACCTGTAAGTCAACTTAAACTAATGAAATAAGTCTGATAAGATATAGACCAAAACAGATACCACTTTCTTATTAACAAATTTCCTAAGCCAGGTACAGTGGTGCATGCCTTTAATCCCAGCACTTGGGAGACAGAGGCAGGCAGATCTCTGAGTTCCAGGTCAGCCTGGTCTACAAATAGAGTCCAGGACAACTAGGACTACACAGAGGAACCCTGTCCTGAAAAACAAAACAAAAACAAATTTCCTACCTATAAAAGGGCACAATAAGTATAAAAATAAATCCAATATATACATATATAGAAAGAAAATATGATCTAACAGTTCAAGAACTCTAAAATTATTCAAACCCTCCTAAGAAATGTAAAGAGCACGGAAAAAAAAACCCAAAACAAAAATATACAACTTAAAACTTGTAGAAAAGATATAGATTCTGAATATATAAAACTGTACATGTTTACTTTCAATGTTATTGGCATGCTCGGCTTAAGAAAGTGACCCTTGAGCTGAGCGCAGAGAGCAGCCCATTCAGCACTGGCTGGCATGCAGGGACCAGAGTTCTTCCTGGCACAGCAAAGGGCAGCAGACAGCACAGTGGCGCGCTGCTGCCCTCCACAGCCAGGCAGGGGGCAGGAGGGCCACTCACTCATCCTTAGCCACACAGCGAGTTCAGAGACGGCACAGGGTACAGGAGACTGTTTCCACTTCTCACACACGCACACTGTGTATATGCATTACTATCAATTTGTCACACCTTTTTCATCTGGCAGGTATCTAAAATCCATAGGTTCACTAACTTCCTGGTCAGAAGGTCTCCGCAGCTGCATTTTCACTGTCACAGGCTCCAATATAGTTCTGCAATATGGAGGAGTCTTGAAAACAATGGCTACTTGGCGGTGTACATCAGCTTGTGAAAAAATACCTTTGGCTTCCCAGTCATTCAACACAAAACGAACTTCTATATCATCTAGTAAATAAGATGCCAAAGAATAATAACAATGGGGAAACAGTAAAATACATATTTTAATCAAATATACATTACCAATTCAGTTAAACAAAACTGATAAATACCTTTCTGAACTTTGTCACAAAGTAGAAATATTTCATCTCCTCCTCTGACACTTCCACAGTTCTTGTTTACACGACAAATCCTTAATTCTGCAGTATTTGGGGCACCTAAATATAAAGGATTTTTAAAAATGGGTCTCAGTTAACATTAACATTGCCTTAGTTAATGTTACTATTGCTGTGATGAAACACCATGACCAAAAGCAACTGGGGAGGAGAGAGTTATTTCCCACACAGTTCCATGGAACAGTTCATCATCCAGAGCACTAAGGGCATGAACTCACACAGGGCAGGAACCTAGAGGCAGGAGCTGATGCAGAGGCCACGGAAGGGTGCTGCTTAGTGGGGTGCTCCTCGTGGCTTGCTCAGCCTGCTTTCTTACAGAGCCCGGAACCACCAGCCAGCCCTGGGGTAGCCCTCCCAGTGGACCACTAAGAACAGCCCACAGGCTTGCCTATAGCCAGATCTTATGGGGACAATTTCTCAACTGATGCTCCTTCTCTGGTGATGCTAGCTGTGCCAAGCTGACATAAAACTAGCCAGTGCAAGCATTATATTTTACTGTTTGTAAGGAGAAGAATTTGACGAAAATGTTTTAGAGAATAAACAAAAACTTTAATGTACAGATAAAGGAAACTAAACATTTTGTGTCTATGGTGTAAGTGTTGAAGTATGTGTAAGTGTAGGTGAGTATGTGTCATGACAGGAGTAGAACAGGTATCTTGTGCTGCCAGCCCTTGATCTCCACCTCTTTTGAGACTGTTTGCAGCTGCGCACACTGGGCGAGCCGGCCTTTGAACCTGAGCAATTCCCCTGCCTCTTCCTTCCGTCTCTCTGTGACTACAGTAGTCTTCTTATAGCATGCCTATCTCCCTATGGCAGTGCAGGATCCTGCCCAGGACTATTCTGACAGTTGTCCAAGGCATCTAAGGCTCTCTGGTGAGATCATTTACTACTATGGCCCAGTATTCTACATGCAAAGCAGGCAGAACACACACTACTGGTGAGTTTGTGTGAGTGTGTGTATGTGTGTGTGTACAAAATATTTTGGATGAAAGTCTTAAAATATTTTCAAATAAAATTCTATATCCTTTGATGTAGTGTTTGTCAAAATCTATGCTTCTAAAAGCAAATGCCAGAAATATTGGTATAAGATCTGAAAATTCAGGAGCCAGTGAGATGGTTAAGTAGGTAAAGGTGCCTGTTGCAAGCCTGATGACTTGAGTTTGACCCCGGGGAAACAAATGGGAGAAGGACAGAAGTAAGTCCTGCAAGTTGTCTTCTAACCTACACACACAGACAGACAGACAGATGACAGAGAGATGTGTTTAAAATGCACACATAAATTTATTTCAGTATAATGCCTACAAAAATAAATAAATAAATAAATAAATAGATAGATAGATAGATAGATAAAAGGAAACAAGCCAAATATCCTTTAACTGGGTAATGATTTCTTAAAATTAATATATAGCCATATAGAAATATGCTGGCAGGCAAGGTAGCACAGGCCTTTACTCCTAGCACTTAGGAGGCAGAGACATAGGCAGGGGCAGAGGCAGAAGGCAAGAGACAGAAAGGAAGAGACAGAGGCAGAGAGGCAGAAAGGCAGAGAGACAGAGGCAGAGAGGCGGAGGCAGAAAGGCAGGGACAGAGGCAGAGGGATCTCTGTGAGTTCAAGGCCAGTCTGGTCTACAAAGTGAGTTTAGGACAACCAGGACTGATACACAGAGAAACCCTGTCTTAAAACACAAAAACAAAAAAGAAAAGAAAATATGCAGTTGCTTAAAACCTAAGTGAGGCTTGCGGTGTAGCTCATGCCCTCGGTTCCTTGCCAGCAATGTTTACAAAGAAGAGAGGGCTGAAAAGATGGCTCAGAGGCTAGGAGCACTAACTGTTCTTCCAAAGGTCCTGAATTCAATTCCCAGCAACCAGGCTCATAAACATCTACAATGAGATCTGGTGCCTTCTTATGGCCTGCTGGCACACATACAGGCAGAATACTGTATAAATAATAAGTAAGTAAATAAATAAATCTTTAAAAAAATAAAAAGAAAAATGTGACTGAAAAAGGTTCAAGATACATTGCTGAGAAAAAAGTTTTGGGATCTTTTCTTTTCTTTTCGTCTTTTAAGACAGGATCTCATATAACACAGGATGGTCTTGAACTCCCTATTCTTAAACACAGCCAAGGATAACTCTGAATTCCTGATCCTCCTGCCTCTGCTTCCCAAGTGCTATGATTATAGGCATGCACTACCACTATTGGCTTGGAAAGGAGTTTTTAAAAGAGCATTGATCCTTTTTTTAAACGTTGCTAAAATTAGTACATGAATGGTGGTGATGAGAAAGATGGCGGTGTCTGTGTTTGTACAAAGGAACTGCAATGCGTGCTTGAGGACAGCGGCCATTTCTGCAAGAGATTAAAGTGATTTGCTCTTCTTACCTGTGTATATATACTTTAATTTTTTTCTGTAATGAACACTGCTTCTTTTTGTTGTTTATTTGACACAGGATCTCTCTTTGTACCGTGGAACTCACAATGTAGACCAGGATGGCCTCAAACTCACAGAGATCTGCCTGTCTCTGCCTCCTAAGGGCTTGGGCTAAAAGACATGCCCCACCACACACAGCTTCTTTTTGTTTCTTGAGGTAAGGTCTCAATGTACAGCCTATAATGCCTTCAAATGTTATCCTCCTCCCTTATCCTTCTGACTGCTAGATGCATGAGCCACCGCCTAACATACTTCTTTTCTAATTATAATAATGCTTTAAATTCTTTACAATTAAGGAAATAAAACAAGCTAGGAGTACAGACATGAAGAAAATTAAAGCACTTACGGTTGTCATAAATTGGGTTAGAAACAACGGGAGGAAGAGCAGTAGTCAGGTTACCATGCTCATCAAGAAGGAAAACTTGAAAACACAGCCTCACCACATTTAGGTCACAATCTTCAATGTCCAGCAGCTGCTGTTCAGGGACTGAACGTACAATGCGATTTTTAGAATGTAGAACACATGACACTAATGGTTTACACAATTCTAAAGTCCTGTTGCCTTTCTCCACCCAAGACAACCAATAACTTCAAGTAGCGCCCAAGTCTGCACAAGACTAAGATGGTGTCTCAGGAACAGCTTTCCTGATTGTGTGAAAACTACCTAACTATATATAGTAAACTAAGACAGTGTCTCAGGAACAGCTTTCCTGATTGTGTGCTCACTACCTAACCATATACAATAGACTATAGACAGTGTCTCAGGAACAGCTTTCCTGATTGTGTGCTCACTATCTAACTATATACAATAAACTACAGCCATGCTCAGGGAGCAACTACACCAGGAACCTGGAAGGTAAGGGTAGAATCACAAACTGACAACCACAAATAAAAAAATCTTACGTATGAATACAAGTTATAGACAACAGGAAATAGGCATTCTTCATTTAACATAGTATTTGGCCCTGTCTGTAATTACTTCTAAATCTAGCAAGAAGTACTGTCATCCCTGTTTTTATAGGTAAGACATTGATTTAAGGGAGATGAAATTATTTGTCCAAAGTTTCACAGTTAAATGGTAGAGTAGAAATTTGAGCCAGAGGGCCATACTAAATCCACACCAACATTATAGAGATGACATTGAAGAAGGTACCAGATAATGTAACTTTATGTGTAAGTCAAGTTTGCTTAAAAACGAACTGCACATCAGGGCATTTTTATAGCTCTGAAACAAACATAAAAAAAAAAAAAAACCTGACATAGAATATAGTATAAGAACAGTCTGATATTTGAAAAGAAATCCACTTCTAAAACAAAATATTGCTGCCTTTTGAAATAATATTTTAAACATCAATAAACTGTTACTAATATACGCCATATTAAAAAAGTATAACATTCATTAAGTTAAAAGAAAAGTTTACTTGGAAAGTATACATTAGTATTGAATTAAAATACTAAATATGAAGAACAATTAGCCAAACTTCCTACTCTTATAGGAAGTAAGCAATTAAAAACTATTTTACGCAGTGCCAGTCAAGTAGCCTATTCCATTTATCAGCATTCTTAAGTCTACCATTTGAGTCTATGAAAACATGCCTGTACAACTAGGAAGGTCAAAAGGGGGCTGAGAGAGACGACTGGTTGATAAAGCGCTTGCACTGCAAGCACAAGTCTGCACCACAATGCATGTCATGAGGCCTGGTGTAGCAGTAAGCCGGATGACCCCAGTGCTGGCAAGGCACAGGCAGGCAGGCCCTCGCCCATCTGTCAAGCTCTAAGCCAGTGACAACCCATTTCAAAAGAGAAGGCCGACAATGGGAACAACAGGTGAGGCCGTCCTCCAGCCTCTTCACCTATGCACTCCCATCCCAGGCTTAAGAGAAAAGAATGGGGTTCAGATGTTAAGATGCCAGCACCTGCGTCACAGCAGTGTACCCTCCCGGAACCATTACAGGCGCAGAAAGAGTACGTGACTCTTGACAGTCCCAGTTGAGGGCTGGAGAGATAGTTCAGGGGTTAAGAGCACTGACTGCTTTTCCAGTGGACCTGGGTTCAATTCCTAGCACCTACAGCTCACAACTGTCTGTAAGCCCTATTCAAGGGGGTCTGACAGCCTCACAAGGACAAACATGCAGGAAGAACAGCAATGAACATTAAAAACAAAAACAAAAAGCGAGGTGCTGCACCCCTTTAGTTCCAGCACTCAGGGAGGCAGAGGCATGAGGATCACTGTGAGTTCAAAGCCAGCCTGGTCTACAAAGAGAGTTCATGACAGCCAAGGCTACACAGAGAAACCCTATCTCAAAAAACCAAAAAAAAAAAAAAAAAGTCACATTTAATAACATTGTAAACTTAAGGATTCCAGTGTCTTCATTTCAAAGGTGAGTAAAAGAAAAGACAGCCAAAAACAATGAATAGCTAGGTGCTCCTGACGGTTTACAAATAAATTTATATTACGGGGAACAAATTGTGGTACAGTTATACAACAGACTAATATTCAGCAACAAAGAACAAACTATGACTATATACTCCAACATGCTACACTGCAAAAATTACTATGACCAAATGGAACCAGACAGCAAAGGCTATAGAATATAAAAGAATATACTTCCAGTTACATGAAAGCCTAGACGATATTAGGTGACATAAAGGAGACGAGCTGTTGACTGGGGGAAGAGATGGAAGCAGGGAACTGATGGAGGAAGAGAAGAGACATTCTGTGTGTGGGAAATGTTTCTTTGCCTTGAGGTTACAGGAAAGACTGTATCTGCCTGGATTTATTTGTCAATAAGTGTTTAAAATATGAAAATGATATGTAAAATAAAAATAAAATGCCCAATAAACTAAAATACAAATGTATTTAGCCACACAATTATTCTATCAAAGGCAAAAAATTATATTTTCTATAGACATGTAATATAGGATAAACCTACTAAAATCTGTACACCTAAAGAAACTAATCAAGAGGGAGGACCCTGACTAAAATGCTCAATCCCCATCCCAAAAGGCAAAGAGGAAGGACATCAGAAGACGAAAACAGGAAACAAGCTAGGAACCTGCCAGAGAGGGCCTCTGAAAGGCTCTGCCCTGCAGACTATCAAAGCAGATGCTGAGATTCATGGCCAGCTGTTGGGCAATGTGCATGGAATCTTATGTAAGAAGTGGGAAATAGTAAGATCTGGAGAGGACAGGAACTCCACAAGGAGAGCAACAGAACCAGAAAATTAACACAGGGGTCTTCCCAGAGACTCATACTCCAACCAAGTATCAGGCATAGAGATAACCTAGAACCCCTGCACAGATGTAGCCCATGGCAGTTTAGTGTCCAAGTGGGTTCCATAGTAATGGGAAGAGGGACTGCCTCTGCCATAAACTGATTGGTCTGCTCTTTGATCACCTCCCTCTGAGGGGGAAGCAGCCTTACTAGGCCACGGTAGAGGACAATGCAGCCACTCCTGATGAGACCTGATAGACTAAGATCAGAAGGAAGGAGAGGGGGACCTCCCCTATCAGTGGACTTGGGGAGGGGCATGCGTGAAGAAGGGGGAGGGAGGGTGAGATTCAGGAGGGGAGGAGGGAGGGGCTTCTGGGGGGATACAAAGTGAATAAAGTGTAATTAATAAAAAATTCTATTTTCACAGAAGATTATTGTTTGAGGGACTCTGCTTTGAACTGTGGAAAAACAGTTTTCGTTGCATAAATCTTATTCTCCTCACTGTACAACATGGTTAAAAACCGCTGACAACCAAAAGTCACAACTGATATCTGGACTCAGAGTAAAGACCGAAAAGTCAACTAATAACTACTTTGTGCCATGAAACTACAGAGGTACGAACAGTAAGTATGTATGTGGAGGACAGAGACCAACAGTAGGTGTCTTACTCACTCCCCACCTTATTTCTGAGACAGGGTCTCTCGATGAACCTTGCCAACCCCAGAAGCCCTCCTGCAGCCGCCTCCCCAGTGTTGGGAATGCCAAGCTTTCCTCAGATGGTGCTGGACTGAGCTCGGCTCTCCATGCCTATGCAGCAAGCACTTACTAACTGAGCCCCACCCCAGCCCCGAACAAAGCCTAACCACCACCCTGGACTAGAAGAAATATCCCTTCTCTCTAAATAGCACAGCAGTACATCTGTACTTAGTTTTTATCTTACATGATCACCCACAAGTGCCACTTCTATCCTATTAGCAAAGTTTTATGAGCTCAGAATGGGTGTTTGTTGCATCTTTTTATTTTCACTCAACATTGAAGATAGAAGTGTTCATATATAATGGACGTATATTACATTTCTTCAATTAATGAGTGACTAAAGGCTCAAATAGAATTCAAGGTTATCTTCAGCTACATAGTGAGTTTATAGGTACAATCTCAAGTAGCTTTAATTACATGTGTTCTCTATCACGCCTAAACAAACAAAACTATTTCAGGAGCTACATAGGACTTTAGAATGAGGACTTTTAAGTATAGGATAACTGTATCCACTTCAGTAATCATTTATCTGTTTCATAATACAAATGCTAAGATATCAGATGCTATATCAAATAGTGTCATAAAGAGTAAGTGCTTAGGAGCCAGGGAAGCAGCTCATTTGGCCAAGTGCTTGGTTAGCACACACAACCTTGAGTTCACTCTCCAGGAGTGCATAAACTAAGTATTACAGTGCATATGAATGATCTCAGTACTGGGAGGGTCAGAAAATTCAAGGTCATTCTTGGCTAAACAGTGAGTTTGAGACCAGTCCAGAATACATGAGACCCTGTAAAAAAAGCAAAAATGGAAACAAAAACAACAACAAAGAAAAATGCTTAAACTGGGCATTTGAATATGGCATCTGAAGCTAGACTGTGTTATGTGGTAAGATCTTGTCCCCAGAACAAGAAATTGAAAATAAAATGCTTAGTAAGTACTATTTGCAACAAAATGTACTAAAAAGGAAGATATTTTGCCAATACAAAAAACATACTACAAAAATATTTTTGAAAGGCTAGAGAGATGCTTCAGGAAGAGTACTTGTTGCTCTTGCGGAGGAGCTGGGTTCGATTCCCAGAACCCACATGGTGACTCAAATCTGCAACTCAAGTTTCAGCAGTTCTGATACCCTCTTCTGACCTCCAAGGGTACAAGATACACATGTGGTACACATATATACATGCATGTAGGCAAAACATTCACACATAAAAAACAAAAGTAGCCTAAAAAATATTGTGAGTGGCCAAGTATGCTGCTCATGCCTGTAATGACAGAACTTGGGAGGCAGAGGCAGGGGAGATCAAGAGCCCAAGGTCAGCCTCAACAAAACAGCAATTCAGGTCAGCTGGGCTGTATGAGGTCCCTACTAAAAAGAAACTGTGGCGCTGGGGAGGACACTATTTTCTAAGACAGTGCCCACTCAACACTCAGAAAGGAGAGAGATAGTGTTTGTTGGAGGAGTGGCATAAGGAAGAAGCATATTAAAAGACAATCAGAACACTTGGAGAAGGTTTTAGTTGTTTTAGCCAGGCATGGTGGCTCACACTTCTAATCCAAGCACTTGAGGGTGGGGGTCCTGAGGGAGGATTGCTGAGAATTCAAGGCCTGTCTGGGATATGTAGTGAGTAACAGATCAGCCAGAGCTATAAATGAAGACCTTATGTTAAAACAATAAGGGGAATGGGAGGCTTCCTCAAAGAAAACACTGTCCACTTAAGTAAGTCAACAAGTAGAATTACAGTATCACAGTCAGCCAGGTGTGGTGGCACACCCCTTTAATCCCAGCACTCAGGGAGGCAGAGGCAGGTGGATCTCTGTGGGTTTGAGGTCTGCCTGTTCTACAGAGCAAGTCCAGGACAGCCAGGGCTGTTACACAGAGGAACCCTGTCTCGAAAAAGCAAACCAAACTAAACCAAAAGGAAAAGAAAAAAAAAAAAGTCACAGTCCATTGATATCCAAATAGTAGAAATTATAACCAATTACTTACCATTGAAAGGATTGATTCCTGCACTTATTCTTAAAATAATAGCTTCTTTCACTTCTTTTTTCTTTACACATCGAATACCCAAATTTTGAAAACTAAAAGTAAAAAACGAAACTTTCAAAATCACATCATAGTTAAACAAAACTACGACAGAAATCAAACATATTCAACATTGAGAAGTTATAGTCCTGTCACATCCAGCTGCTGGATCATGAGCCCTGTCTCTAACTGTGATAGTAGCGAGAGTGACGAAGCAGGCTAAGAGAACTGTTGACAGCAAAACAAAGCACACCATGGCTCGTTCTTAAGACAGCACTAGGGAGCTGAGGCAAGTGAAGTCAGTTACCTACACCACCAGACTGAAAAAACACACAGAGCATTACATGGCTTTCAAATCCACTGTTACAGTTACAGTTGGCCAATAGGCCTAGGCAAATACACCAAGGTAGATAAACATTACAAGCAAAACAAACTAACTAACTAAAAGCAAAATTTCACCTTCTGAAGACATTCATGATCAATTTACTAAAACTGGTCATCAAGAGGTGCAAAGACCCTGAAATATGCAGTTATGGTTTGCTGAACTGATAGCAGTATTAACCTATGTATTTTTAAATTGTATAGACATGGTTACTGCATTAAAAACTATCTATACATCACCAAACTTAAAAGTCAAGTAATTAGAGATGAGCATCAGCAATTTTGGCTTTGTGAACATTTTAGAGGCTTGACAGCACTACTTGGGCAGAGGGACAATTGGTTAGAGCTGAGCACTGTGGCCCATTTATGTCCAGTTCTCCACTTTGATGAGGGGCCTGGCTAGCCTTCTATATTTGATTCTCTCTGCACATTTATGCTGTCTGCCTAGCTCATCTCTGAAAAATATATAATCAAATACAACAAAACACTGCTAGCAGCTGTACAATGTCTTGCTGTACACTTGAGGCAGTCTCAAGACCACAGAATACACTTTATGCCATGTTATAAGATTATAATAAAAAGAGTGAAGGGTTTTTTTTTTTTTTATTAGAGAGCTTTAATACTAACAATATTTAGCAACAGTTTCAAAAGGTCATTTATGGAAAACTTCTAAATAGCTACAAATATTACTCATTTGCATATGTGTAATACAGATGATAGTGGGGGAACTCCCCTACCACCACCCAGTCATACTTGTTCCCACATGGAAAAACCATGACATCATTTGAGATGGGTGGGTGTGCATAAGGAAGCAAACTCAGTGATAAGAACATCACTCTGCCTTTAACCTTCACTGGGCACCTACAGCCAGGGGCTGCCTGGTCACTTACTCCACACTCACGCTGCTTTATGGTCACGCTTCACGCGTGACCTCGCACCTGGGACTTTAGTAACAACTAAAATAACTGTCATTTCCTTTCTCTACCTCCAATAACAAAAAAGTTATCAATTCTTAATCCTTTCTTGAAATCCTGCAACAAAATAATTCTTTTCAAAAGGAACTTTTCTTTGAAAGATTCCTAGTATGTTTCTCAATTTTTCTCTAGTAAAAGACTTTAAAGAATTCTAAACCCTACATACAATACCTGATCTTGTTCCATGTGAATAATAATCACAGCAGCTATGCACATACTGTTAGAAGTAATGGGGACTTTGGAAATTCTGAGCCAGGGGTACAGTACTTGTACACAGTGGTACAATACTTGTGTAGCACTCTTAACACTCTGGAACCAACCCCAAGACTAGAGAAAAGAGGAAAGAAGGGGAAGGAAAAAAACCTGACTTAAGGAAACCAAGAATCATGGGATATTTGCTCATTCACCGATTTATGCCTTCCAATCAATACCTTTAGAGTTCCACCTGTGCATTAAAACGTTAGCAAGGCATGGAGGTACGTTCTCTCTTTGCGGATCTCAGTGTCTGGAAGGGGGCTGGCAAACTCTGACTCACGGGGCAAACTCAGCAGCAGCTCTTTTTGCAAATGAAGTTTGAACCGGAGCACAAGCACCCTCACACACTCACATACGGGGTGCATGCTGTCCTACTGCGCAGTAGGACACAGCGTCCAAAGGGCTCACAAAACCTACGACACTGCTAGCCTTTTAGAGAAAAAATTCTGCTAGCTCAAACCTGAACTATTCAATAATCACATGCAAAAACCCCACTCAATTGAACCATAAAAGTTTTATGAAGAGAAACATACTCTATGGAAAGGAGCATACAATGGGATTAATTCTTGGCGGGCAGACAGGTTTCCTGATGGAAATGATAACATGAACTGAACTAGGAACTCAAAAGGAACACATAATGAAAAAGCTCCTATGAACTTTTTCCTCTGAGCAGAGGAAACCAAAGGAACACTCACGACTGCAATGAAGATTGGGGGCACAGAGAGAGGCGGTGCCGCTACACACCGTTAGCTGTAGCACTGGGAGGCAGAGGCAGGTGGATCTCTGTGTTCAAGGACAGCCGGGTCTACAGAGGGAGTTCTAGGACAGCTGCGGCAGAAGATAAAAACCAGAGGCCATACGGAAGAGCAGCCACACAACTCCAGATTAAAACAAGTCTGTCTTCACAAGAATAGAGATTCCAAAAAAGGAATATTTCAAGACACAGATGATTGAAGATTTGCAAGCTGGTGGAAGGCCAAGTAATGCAGGCAGTACTACTTCTTGTCACAGCTGCACTCCCAGGGCTTTCTGTGTTTTGTTACTACTATTAATAACAAGACCTTTGTGGAGACAATGTCTTGCTGTGTAGTCCAGGCTGGCTCAAATCTTTTCATAGATCATGCAGAATAAAGGGATAAATCACCTCATAAGTATGTTTCCTTACTTTCAGGAATAATAAAGAAGTGCGCCTCGCCAGGCAAGGTTATGACAATGCCTACTTAAAACCTCAGTACTCTGGAGGCTGAGGAAGGAGAGTCACTACAAGTTGGAAGTTAGGCTGAGCCACATAGTGAGATTCTGTCTCAAAACAGCCAAAACGTAAAAATAATAAGTGGTAGACAGGTAGCTCAGTGGGCAGCCTGCTAGCCTACCATACACAGGATTGAGTCAATCTGATAAACTGGAGGTAGTGCCTTCTGGCTATAACTTACACCTGGAATCTCTGAGTATCTGAGTCCTCTGGAAGACCACCCTAGCCTACCTAACACTCTGCCTTAAGAAAAAAAATAATAGCTGGGCAGTGGTGGCGCACACTCTTAGTCCAAGCACTAGGAAGGCAGAGGCAGGGGGATCTCTGAGCTTGAGGCCAGCCTCATCTCCAGAGAAAGTTCCAAGACAACCAGGACTACACAGAGAGTTGTTTTGAAAAAGAAAGAAACAAAAAAACAAGGAAAACAAAATAATTACATTAAAAACAAAAACCAATCCCTGCTGAGCCAGACAGGGTGGTGGTACGTGTAATCTCAGAACTTGGGAGGTGGAGGCAGGAGGGTAAATTCAAAGTCATTCCACATAGGAAGTTAGATCCCAGCCTAGGCACCACGCCTATTTGAACCCCCAACTCCCAAGGAAGTACTTCCACTAACTATCATGTACGGTGTCTATTAATAAAGAAAGAAAGAGAAGTTCTAATTCAAATGGTAAAAACAAAATGTTAATGTCAGGTTGGTGAGATGGCTCAGTGGGTAAAGGACCTGCCACCACACCTGATGACCTGAGTTCAATCCTCAGGTCCACATGGTGGAGGAAAGAACCAACTCCACAAGTTGAACCAATTCTCACCTCCTCATGCACTCCACAGCACATGTATGTACCCCCCAGGTAAAAAAAAAAAAAAAAAAAAAAGGGAATTAAAAAGTTTAATGTATGGGCTGGAGAGATGGCTCAGCAGTTCAGAGCACTGGCTGCTCTTCCAGAGGACCCAGGTTCAACTCTCAGCACCCACATGACAGTTCACACCTGTCTGTAACTCCACTTCCTGGGGATCCGGCACACTCACACAAACATACACACCATACATGCAGGCAAAACACCAGTGTGCATAAAATAAATCATTAAAAATTTAATGTATACTATAGTAAATTAAATATAAAATTAATTTATTTTGCTAAAAACTAAAAGTAATCCTTGTCCTATTACTGAAATTTTTTGTCAGTGTATGTACTTTGTCTTTACTACTTTTTGAGTTCTTTTTTTTTTCTACCCTTTATCCACCCCCCCCCCCAATTTTACCCCCTATTACTTAATAGGAAAGAAACAAGGATAGAGGGGAGAGAAAGAGAGCGAGAGTTCAGAATTTAATTTCTTTCTTCTTTAAACACAACTACTAACAAACTGCTACCAACCTCCCTGAATGACCACCACCCACCAATCCCACCTATTTCCCAGAATTCCCAACATCAGACAATCACAGAAACTATCTGCAGCTGGTAAAACCATGCCTCTGCTAGAGCATGAGGCAAATCATAGTCACCTGCCTCATTCCTCCACACCTGGAATTAAAATGAAAACTGATTCTTATAATATTTCAGCTTTTTAAACCAAAATTCCAGAATTCTCCCTACATCTGTATACTTACAACAAAGGTCTGCGTTCTGGTCCAAATTCTGCTTCATAGTACCCATCTCTGCAGTCTTTTCCAACTAAATCATGAGGATGAGGCTTATATGGGTCATTCTTTGTTACTAATGTAATTCTTACTTTTCCTTTTCCATAGTAGTTCTTAACCTGAAAGGGGAATTAAATACACAACCTATAAGTATATCTTGTTAAGAACAGATCTACTAGGTGGGTATTGTGGCACAGACCTGTAATCCCCACATTTGGAAGGCCGAAGCAGGATTGGCACAAGTTCAAGGCCAGCCAGAGCTACATACAATAATACTCTATAAGCAAACAAATACAAAGAACTGATTCACTAATTTAAGATCACTGTATATAATGTAGTCAGCACAGAATAAAGTTCAAATATTTAACAGCTTACTTGAGATTAAGTTTCTAGAGAATATACCAATGAGGAAAGCTTATTTTTCAACTCCTGAAATGTTTCTTCCTGCCCTAATTTTATCTATCTTTATCATCTGACTGTTTATTTTCCTTTTAAAACAGGTAAGCAAGCCAGGCACTGTGGTACATGCCTTTAATACCAGAATTTGGGAGGCAGAGGCAGACAGATCTCTGTGAGTTCAAGGCCAGCCTGGTCTACATAGTGAGTTCCAGGGCAGCCAGGACTGCATAGTCAGATCCTGTCTCAAAAATCCAAAACAAACAAAGAAATAAATAAAACAAAAAAATATGACTTTTAGTGCCTCTACCTAATAAACAACCCTGTCTCAATTTACCTTGCTCCTTTGTGGTATGCAAGTTTTTGTATTCTGTTTATTCTTGCAAATTTGCCAACTTAAAAAAAAAAAACATTTATCATTTCCTATCTGGGACTGTCCTCCCACCTTTCTCCTGCTAAACTAGATGTACTTTCTTTAAAAAAATACTGTTTTTGAGATGGGGTCTCACTATGTAGCCCTGACTAGCCTGGAACTTGCTTTGTAGAACAAGCAGACTTCAAGTTAACAGAGACCTACCTGCCTCTGGCTCTTGATTTCTGGGGTTAAAGGCATGTGCCACCATGGATATACTTTCTGTGTAAAATTTCATCTTGTTAAACTTAACTTGATTTACTGTTCATTACACAGTGAATGCTTGTGATATGCTTATCTACTAACAAATATTTTTATGAAATGAAATATATATTAAGCAAAATGATCATATTTGATTGCTATTATTTCCAATGTGGTTTAAAAACATTTTTTTCAAGGCATATTTATGCCTCTGCCTCCCAAGATATGAGGTTAAAGACATGTGCCACTTGGCCTGGGCATCTTATTTTTTTATTCTTTGGAAGTTTCACCTATTTATTTATACAGTGTACACTGATCATATCCACCCACCACTACTTCCTTCTTTTTTTAAACAGAACAGTAACCAAGAAATATTTACTGCCTTTCTAGATGAAAGAGAAGGTAATTACTCAAGACTACAAAACAGGGTGATGGAGAAAGAATTCAAGCTATAAAGTGTTTAGGCCTGTTGGAACAGAAAGATATAAATCTTACATATAATTTTGACACATAAAGTAAGATGGTTTAAGAACTAAGGGTGAGGAGATGGTGCTGCAGGGAAAGGCACTTGCCACCACCTTCAAGCCCGAGATCTTACATAGCACAAGGAGAGAACTGTCCTAGAAGTTGTCCTGACCTCTACATGTGTACGAACAGACAGACAGACAGACACACACGCGCGCACACACAGGAAGAGAGAGAAAATCTGAAATAACGACGTTTAAAAAACAAGCCAGAGTTCTCTAAGATGACAGCCTATGAAAAACCTGTGGCAAAGGAGGGTAAAGAGAAGCAGGTTTTGAAAGTCACCATTGACTGTACCCACACTAGAGAAGATAGATTCATGGATGCTACTAGTTTTGAGCAGTTCCTCCAGAAGAGATTCAAGGTGAAAGAGAAAGCTGGGAATCTTGGTAGAGGGGCTATGATCATCAAAAGGAACAAGAGCAGATCACTGTCTCTTCCGAGTTACCTTCTTCCACAAGGTATCTGAAATATTTCAGAAATACCTGAAGAAGCATCTCCAGGTCTGGCTGCACGCTGTCAGTAGCAGCCAGATGAACTCTGAGCTGTCTGTGCTGCTTCCGGGTTAGCCAGGGTGAAGGGAAGAGGGAGTGTGGATTACCACACATTGGTCTGGGATGTTCTAAATGAATTCCTAAAATTTAGGAACCATTTTTTTTTTTTTTTTTTTTTTTTAAAAAGAGCAGCCAAAAGTGACCCATAAGGTTGGAAGAAAATTACAAAAATGTGATATAGAAAACATGAAGTTATGGGGCTAAAAGGACTTATTGATCTTCCACAGCCCAGAGTTCAGATCTCAGGGTCCACGCCAGGCGGTTCACAGTTGCCTGTAGCTCCAGCTTCAAAGGATCTGAGACCCTCTTCTGGCCTCTGTGCACACACACATGCACACTGTTCACACACACACATATATAAAAATAAAATCTTTTTTAAAAAATTAAATTTGTATAGTAGAAAGGACAAAAAGCTTCAGGCACATTGTTGTACAATATGGTGACTATGTACAAAACAAAAAACTAGAAGGACTTTGAATGCTTCCACAAGGACAAATACATGTTTGAGGAGCTAAGTTTCTTTAACCTGACTGAAGCACTACATGATTTATACATGTATCAAATATTACATGACATCCCATTAATATGTATAATTTAAGCATCTACATATCCGTTAAAACATAAAAACAGAAATTTGGAAACTAATATATAACTTGACAATTGACTTATTTTAATTTTGTAATTCTTCTTAGGGTCAATGAAATAAACTGTAAATAAGCTAGTTATAAAACAATGTTTTCAGATCTATTGATGAAATATTAAGAACCGTTTTTCAAAATCCATTTTGAGATGGTATCTTACTTTTATCCATAAATGTAGTCTCTAGATCCGAGTAATCTTCCTACCACAGCCTCCCAAGTAGGTGGGATTTTAGTGGGTGATACTGTCCCTGACTAGTTATTAATCTTATTTTTGTTTGTTTGTAGAGACACGGTCTTGCTTAAATAGTCCAGACTGGCCTAGAACTTATGTAGCCCAGTAGTCTTCAAAGTCAAGATCTACCTGTTTTTGCCTCCAAATGCTTGGGTTACAGTCATGTGATACCACATCAACTCAAAACTAAGCTTTTTAATTGGCACTTAAATGATAAAAATTAGCTAGGCATGACTGCACGTCTATAATTCCAATATGAAGGGAGCAGAAGCAAGAGAGAAGATTGCTAAAAGTTTTGTTTTAGCCTAGTGAAATTTTATTTCAAAGCACCAAACATGAATAAATGAATAAATAAATCATAAAAACTAATAAATTATAAAAACTAAAAGGCAAGTAGATATCATTTATAAACATAAACCTTGTAAACATGGAACATTTGCTAAATTCATTCTCATTCAAAACCTATCTTCATAGGCTAGGGACATATCTACTAGCAGAACACTTGCCTAGTGTTCCTAAGGTTCTAGGTTCAGTCCCCAGTACTGTCTGTCAACAAAGAGACCAGCAGCTTGAGCATCAGTAATAGCAGCACTCACTCCTGTCAGGAGACAGAGCGCAGAAACAGAACTCTGGAAGCTAGCAGCCCAGGTGGCCTGGCATATGAAGTGGAAAAGCAACAAAGACACCTGTCTCAAACAGGTGGAATGTGACAGCAACCCACCCAAGGCTGTCCTGACTTCCACCTGGGCGCTGAAGCACAGGAGTGTCTGACTCACATACACAAAGGAGCACACACACCCTACACACAAAGAAAAAAAGTGATACTTTAAATGAAGTCAATAACTTAAAAGTATTGGAGATAAGCAAATAACAGTATGAAAAAAGGAGGGGAAAAGTTCTTTATCAGTAGCCCCTAGATTAAAAGACTGAAAAAAATGTTTCTAAATCTGTTTAACATATACAATAGTTCCCCCTCAGTAGAATGCTTTTTCCTCATTAAATGCTGTGTGTTTATGAAAGAGATCAGATCCAAAGCTGCAACGGTACAGTGAGCACTGTGAATCACTGCAGTTACATTTATACAGGAACTATAGAGCAGGAAAGATGCTGCACTTTAAAGACATGTCCCTATACATCTAGTTAGTGCAGAGCAACACAGAGAAGAAAGGAAAAAAATAGGGCATGGGGGCAGAAGACTGGTTAGAAACTGAGCCTTCTGCTGGGGGTGCGGGCGCATGCCTTTCCCACCAGGCAGAGGCAGGCAGGTCTACAGAGCAAGCTCCAGGACAGCCAGGCCTACAGAACTGAGCCTTTAATGTAACCGCCATAGTGAAATATGAACCTCTACACGCGAAGAAAGGCCTGTTACCTGAATAGACGGGTATGTTCGGTTGTTGTCTGTGCTGCGCTCCCCTGGAATGCTGCCTGCTGAACGCCCTTCACATTTGTATCTAAAGCGCATTCCCCTCTGCCTCGGCTGTTCAGTTATTTCTACATATGGATTATATCCACCTGAAAAAATGTAAAAGTAACAGGGCAGTGAGATTAGAAAAGCAATAGAATGGATTTTAATGACTTGGTTTTTAAAAAACAATACACCAAAACAGATCTTTTTCCTTCCCAACATTAAATAACAAAGTAAAAATGTAGCCATCAAAAAGACTGGGTGAAGAAGATACCTTTTCCCTCATACAAACTGAGCTTCTAGATAGTATTAACACACAATTGATCAGTGCTTTATTGCTTAAGATCTACAGCTAATTACAATATTAGCTTTTCCACTTGTCTACATGAGGCCAATTAGAAGGGTTTTCTCCCAATATTTCCCAAGAAGGGTGAAGAAAATAGTATTCTGAAGTACATTATGCTCCAAAACTTAGCGAAATGTATTCAGCTGCTTTAAATTAGACTATCATTGCATGAAAGGACACTCATTGAAAAATCAATTTAAAGCCTTGTATAGGCAAATCTGGAATATCAAAGAATCTGTACACAATATACTAAAACAGTACACTGAGTTTAGACTCAACTAAAATTTCAAATCACTTCTATCTAAACCTCCACCAAAATATAATATATAATGTGGAGGTAATAAAATAATTTACCTTCCATTAAGATGTATTAAAATATGTACCCACAGGATAAAATACTGTTAATACTACTACCAAAGTAAGCGGTTGAGTGAAAAAAGCTAATCTAAGATATTATGTGGCCCATTTACATGAAACTATAGAATATGTAAGCCAAACTATAGTGAAAGAAAGGTGACCACTATTTGTCTAAAACCAGTAGATGAGAAAGTTTGGAGGGTCGTGGACATGTTTACTTTTATTGTGTTGATTGTGATCTATATATGTGTGTGTTTATATGTAAGTACACACAAAAACATATACACATATACACACACTATAAATATATTTAATATTTTCAAGTGTGGTGGGTCAGGCCTTTAATCTTAGCATTTTCAAAAGCAGAGGTAGGCTGACCTCTGTGAGTTCAAGACCAGTCTAATATATATAGCAAGTTCCAGGCCAGTCACAGCTACATAATGAGATCTTGTCTCAAAACAAAACAAAAAAAAAAAGCTTATATATAATTATTACAATTAATTAATTACATGTCAAGAAAACTTTAAAAACATATACATCCTTACCTTTTTTTATTAGCCAAGTTGTAGAAATAAAAGTTCAATAAAGATAACTGTGTTTTCAAGTTAGGACAGATAACCATGTGATTTTATTTTAGGAATATAAATTCCCCAAACCATAAATTCATTTCACTAAGGCTTATCTTGTTAGAATGTAAACAATCTTCAGAAATGATAAAACAATGACTATAATATTTTTATAAAATATGGGATGAAGTCTATTCCACCTGGCCACTTCCTTTGTTTCCTTCTAGAATTTACTATGTAGATTCAACTGACCCCTGAACTTGCAGTGATCTTCATGCTTCTGCCTCCTGACTTCTATTCTTAAGACCAAAGAAGATCCAGCAAGAATGCAGCGAGACCCTGTGTTAATTATATCTTACTATTAATAGCCTCTGTAAAAAACATGTATTAAATTCTTAGCAAGCATCACGCACACAAGAGGTGGTCTATTACTTCAGATGGTTTCTTGAAGACAATGGCACAGTGATACCATCATTACCACAACTGCTAAAGAACCTTATATCCAACAGGGAGGAAATTATTAGTGAACAGCACAGTTATTAGTGTAGAAACGGGGGAAAGTACTAATAAAATTCTGCAGAAAATTATAATAAGAACAAAAGCAGAATCTAACAGTTTAAGAGAGGGAAAATATAACCAAACGAGTGAAAAGACATTGTAGAAAAAGGAAAGTAATTGTCTATGTAAGGCACATTAACCTCCAATGAAGTGGAGAACAATTCCACGATTAGAAAAAACCAAAAGTCCAAGTACATTCTGTAATTAGGATTTCATTCTATACATGAAAGAAATCAGTGTTTTTTATTCAGGGAAATCACAAGATCAGATTAGCATTCTAGAGTAAGAATTCTGATGATAGTGGATGGACTGAAGAAAAAAGAAAATGATCAGTTTAAAGATTACTTACACAAAGATATATGATCGTTCTCATATAAATGCATACATACATGAGATTTGCCACAACAATAAAATGGAACAATTATAACAAACTATTACAAGTTATTTGAAACTATGAAATTTTCCTTTTAATATTTTTGTACTACCGGTTGATTACAATAAATGAACTGAGGAAAATGAAACTATAGATAAGTGGAAAGTATTGTCACATGAGCAATAAGGTGGGTATGTCCAAAATATGGCTGTCATAAAAATAAAAGATTACTTAAAAAAAAAAAGTAGCTGGGTGCACTGGCGCACACCTGTGATCCCAGCACTCGGGAAGGCAGAGGCAGGCGGATTTCTGTGAGTGTGAGGCCAGTGTGGTCTACAAAGCAAGTTCAGGACCGCCAGGGCTATACAGAGAAACCTTGTCTCAAACAACAACAGCAACACCACTACCAAACAAACAAACAAACAAACAAACAAACAAACAAAAAACCAGACAGTATTTTGGTTCCTAAACATCAAAGACAAATGACAAATTAAACACTGGTGGTTAGGGGCTAGGGAGACAGCTCAGTCAGAAAAGTGCTTGTCATTCAAGCACAAGATCCAGAGTTCAGTTCCCAGCATCCACACCCACAGCCAAGCACCACAGCACACACCCGGAAGGCCAGTGCTGGAGAGGAAACAGGGGAGACCTTGAGTTCTCTAACTAGCCAGCCTAGCCTAATGGGTAAGAACTAGGTCCCCAGTGACCACACACACACACACACACACACACACACACACACACACACACACACGGCCATGTGGTTCCTATTTTAAGTTACTCAATAACTTATTGCTGCTACCTTTAATTTTATTCATTTTGATTCAGACCTCTTGCATTTGAATCTATCACTCATTTGCTTCTTCAAGGGACAGAAAACAGGCCCAAGGACCTGGTTTAATCTTAAAACAAAAACAAAACAAAAGAACACAAACAAACAAACACAAAAAGAGAGGAAACAATTTTAATCCAACCAAGTTTATAACAAATACTGAAAATATAAAGCAAATGAGTATTTCACAATGTATGTATCATTGTATATGTAAAACATACACCTCAATTTTAAGAATTTCATAGTCTACGTGTTCTTGTAGGACTGTTTAAGAGAATGCACACTTCTTCTCAATTGTGTTAAATTCAACATGATTGTTTTTTCAGTGGCATCTTAAAGAATTTATGTGGTTGAACTAAAAGGTCAAACAAATCCCAGCCCACTACTTAAGAGTGTTCTGATGGGAAATTGATATAGAATGACATCATTAATGGCACTTCCAGAGGACCAGGTTCAATTCCCAGCACCCACATGGCAGCTCACAATTCTCTGTAACTCCAGTTCCAGGGGATAGGATACCCTCACACAGGCATACATGCAGGCAAACATCAATGCATATAAAAAAATCATTAAAAAATAAAACAAACAAACATGGTAGGGTCAGTCAAAGCAAATTACATAGTTCTTTAAACCAGTAAGTGTATTTATGAAATTATGAAATTGTTAATAAGATTATTTTAAAAATTCTTAAAAGTAGTAAGAATTACCTAAATATTGTCATGTAATATCATGAATTTGTATTTATTTTTCCTCTTGTAGAAATTCTTCATTGAGCCAGGCAGTGGTAGCACTTGCTTTTAATCCCAGAACTGGGGAGGCAGAGGCAGGTTGATCTCTTGAGTTCAAAACCAGCCTGAACTACAGACTGAGTTCCAGGACAGCTAGGACTACACAGAGAAACACTATCTTGAAAAATCAAAAAACAAAAATATAACAACAAAAAGAAACTCTTCATTGATAACACGCCTCACTCAAAACCAAGTTTCAGAATTTAGAGTCTACAATTTTCCAGTTGGAAACAACCATCTCTTCCTGTAAACAAACAATCATGATATTTACAGAAATTATTCCAAAGAACATTAGTTTAGGGAAAATTAACTACTGTTAACTTTTGTGTTCTTTATTTTTATTTTTGTTAATTATTGTATTCTTCATTTTTTGAGACAAGGTCTATCTAGGGCTAGCCTCCAGCTTATTTTGTAGCCTAGGCTCGCCTTGAATTCTAATCTTCTGGCCCCACCTCCCTATTGTTGAAATTACAGGCTCCTCTATCACAAGACTCTGTACAGTTCTGGGGATCAAATCCAGGCTTCTCAAGGCTTCGCAGCTCTGCTCTACCAATTGAGTACATCTCTCTTTTTTTGAGACAGGATCTCAAGTAACCTAGGGTGGCCTCCAACTCAATGTGTAGCTTGAGGCTTTCCTTGAACTTCTGATCTTCCAGACTCTACCTTCCCCGTACCAGAATTATAGATTTCTGCCATCAAACCTCAAACTACTGAATGACAGAAATTGTATTACTCATGAAGGCGTTAAATTAACATCTGTGGGGAGATTAAAATTCCAAAGCTCTTTTGTGTCAGTTACTAAAAAATGAAAGGACTATGTTAACGATTAATCAGTTCCTCCTTATTAGATTCCTCTATAAAGGAAAATATAGTGCTTTGTAGGTAATAGAACAACTACACCTTCATGCTTCCTCATATCTGTTCATATTTTGATTTAACTAAACCTAAGACTTTTAAGATCCTCCTAGCTATGAAATCATTTGTAGTATGTGTCAGTACAATGAGCCAGTCATGTTCTTCCTTGGCACTCTTTGCAAAGCCATTCTTCTTGAAGATGAAAAATGCAAACTGTAGTCCTCTATAAAGAGGAAGAAGGAAACATTATCAATCAAGGAACCTTGGGGAAAATAAATACTCTTAAATAAGATTACTGAAAGTCACTATGGTTCTTAAAAACACAGGAATGTTTTCAAAATTCTTTCTAAACAATTTAATTATGGCATTTTTCTTAAACCAGGACAAGTATAAAGTGAGGAGTGGCTCCTATATTTTGAATTGCATCATAAAATACTAATGCTGACTAGAATAAACTTTGAATTATAGCTAAAGTTCTTGCAGCATACTTATGACTTCATGTACAGTTAGGTAAAAAAAGATGCTCTTTGAAAACATTGAGCCTATTTAACATCTCAAGTAAGAGATTTTAAGATTAAAAAGAAATTACACTTAAACATTAGAAAGAGATCAATTGTCAGAATCATACGTAAAATAGGCATAACTACTAAAATATTATTGCTAAAATCAGAAGCCACAATTAAGTGGACAATGAGAATATGTTAACTATATATATTAACTATAACACCATTAAAACAACATGGTTATTTCTCACTGATTCTCTCAACTTTAATCTTCATAAGGAAAACTGATGTTATCTCAATTTAAAAATGATAAAACAAACTTCAAAATAATATGAAACTTTGAGGAAAAAAGATTATTATTACTGCTTTATTTTATGTTTTGTTTATTTTTTCAGAGTCTCACTATGTGGTATGCCTGGCCTGGAACTTGCTTTACAGACCAGGTCTGCCTTTACCTCAGGTTTGTCTGCCTTTGCCTCTGAGTGCTAGGATTAAGGGCATACACTACTATGCCTGTCATACACACTAACAATTTTTAGGAATACAGTGGTGAAGAAGTCATAATCCAAGAAACTAACAAATATGACTACCAAATGGATGTCTTCTGGGTCTATGAACACAGAAGAGATACGAAAAGAATGATAGAGTGAAACTGTTCCATAAGATTTTTTTGCTGAAAGAACAAAAGTCTTGGGTGTCATGAAACTGCAGAGATGTAATTACAACCAAGTTTTGAAATAAAATCAATTATTTTATTTATGTAACAAGAAAAAGACAGTTAAACATAAAACCTCAACAGATATGGCTATAACCTGTAGTCTAAAATAAATGCAAATATCTTAAGAATATAAGGCAAATGCTAAGATTTAAAGTGGTGTCTAGAACAAGTTTGTTTGGGGGTTTTACATCAGAAACCACCTAGGTAGCTTTTCCAAATCATATCCTAACCTCACACAGATCTGAGGAGAAATGTACCTCTTCAAGAATAAAGCCCAGATTTCTGAAGAAGCCTTCGAAATTAGTCTAAATACTCTAAAGAGCAACTGCCTTAAAACATGAAAAAGTAAAAACAACAATGTAAATTATTCAGGGGAGCAACCCAAAAAACATTCTCCCACTGACCAAGGGCTGGGGGGAAAGCTTATCCAACTGAAACAAAAAACAACATTCTAAAGATAGCCTTTGATTACTTTTTTATATAAAATATTATTTTGAACTACTATCTGTACCTTATTATCTATAATACAGCAACAAATGACAGTCATACTAACCACCTTTGAGAGCAGCTGACTACAGCACCTCTCTCTCAGAAATCTTAGGTAAGTCTTTGCCTGAAACCCAAAGAAGCAAGCAGCTAAGAAGCATTCACTCCCAAATATCATCTCTATTCATTCTGGAGAAAACGTAATAAAAAGTTATTCTTTTTCCTCCAGACAGGTCTATCAAAGCCTAAATCACGCCAGACCCTGTCACTCACACCTGAAATGCAGCATTCAGGAGGCTGAGGCAGGAGAATCAGGAGTATAAGTTCATCGAAGCCTCATAGCCATCCTGGGTTACATGAGACCATCTATGAAAAAACAAAGACAACATTCCGTGTGTGTGTGTGTGTGTGTGTGTGTGTGTGTGTGTGTACTTAAATTTCAACATAACCATCTCACTTTCAACTAGAAGGAAAAATCCAAGTAACAGAATTTTCAGATGAGTATTCAACTGATGTATGTATCACAGGCAAATCAATCAAAGTGATATAAATGCTTTGCAGTAAAATTTCACTACTGTGAGTACAGGGGAAAAAAATCAAAACAAAACAAGTCTTAAGTTTCTCACCTGCTAGAATTAAAAAGTAATGTTTAAAGTCTTTCCCAGAATAAATCATTTCTAATAAATCATCTGCCAAATCATCTCTATTAAAGATTTCAGACTTAAAAATACAAGAGACCCAGTTAAATAAAAATTTGAAATGAACATGTTTTTGGACAAACTTATCCTCCTCTGCAATATTCAAATCATGTGCTCATACACACAATCATGCAGGAAACACAGATAGGAGAAAACTGAAACAAAATTCTCTGAGCCCCTTAAATTGTTTTTGAGAAAGAGATCACACACACCTGTGTTCCTAACCATGCCTATGCCATGTCACTGTCTCCAATCATTCTTTTTATTATACATCACTAATTGTATAACACTTTTATCTCTTTTCCATGTGCTTCTGAGATATCTGCCTTTGTGAGCAGGCTTACTTTAAAAAAAGGAAGTAATTTGTTTTAGCTAACCACTCCTAACTTCCAGCTCTATTATTAAAGTGTAAGCTATCTCACAGTTACATTCACTTTTATTAGGGGAAAAAAGTTATCTTGAAATTCACATACAAAAAAGTTGGAGAGTAGTACGGTCTACAAAAATAATTTCTTCCTGTACTTCCTGTTATGTGACACAGCAGAATCATACTAAAGAAAAGAATGTTACTAAATACAAACTTTTAAAGTTTTAATGCACATTTCACCAAAGACAGTATTAAAAGTTAGTAACCACAGTGTGTGCCTCCCAAGGTAATTGTGGGCCCCTTTGTTCTATTGAGGAAATAAAGAGAAGTTTTAAATGTGGACATAAAGGTCTAACTTAGAATAAATAAAATAGAATCACATGAATGATGATTACCTAAATATACAGACCTTTGAGAATATTTTTCTCCACTTTGCCTGCTATAACTAATCTTATCAAAAGGGAGAATCAAAGCTCAGTATTTTTTAAAAGGCAATAAAAGCAGCTTAAAAAGTCATAATTTAGCTAGAAAGTCATAATTTGCTAATTTGCCTGAACAATAATTAGAATCACCACATAAAACCCGTCTACTTGTAGCATTTATATAATTCTGCTCATGAGATTATGATCTATGATATTTTACATAGGCACCACCTATTCAATTACACAAACCTATTTACATATGACACCTGGAGAGAAATGAACAAATGATCTTAATGCTTGGCAATCAATAGGAATACTGTTCAAGGTTTCAATACCACATTGCAAAAAAAAAAAAAAAAATCTAAATTACATAGTGATAAATTAAGCAATTTTTGTTATTCTTAAATTACTATTTAGAATGGAACAGGTGTTTTTAATGTATTTCATTTTTTTTCTCTCTCTGGTCTTTATAACTGACAATACACCCACATACTCCTTTAAACTATATTTCTGCCTAGAAGTTTCAACTAAGCGAATTACAATTTAAATGACGTGTATTTTAAATAGTATCATTTAGCACAACCCTTGCTAAAAGATCAAAAACCAAGCAGATAATGACAGTGCAACTTACACGTTCATTTTTGCTTTTGTTTGTTGGGGTTTTTTCCTTGACTACTGAGAACTGAACCCAGGGCTTCAAAGAAGCTGAGCAAGCTATCAAGAGCTAGAAGCCCAACCCAAGTTCTAAATCCTTAAAACTTGCCATTTCTTTCAAAAATTCCCCTCTTTAATTTTGGGAGTAATTTTTACAACAGCACAAAATGTGTCCTTAGACAAATCACGTTAAAATCATAACTGCCTTACAGAACTTCATGTAATAAGTGATTTTTCTCTTGAAAAATTTTCAAGTATTACATTCATGCACTACGTATATAAATAAAAACCTATTAAGAAGACAGTGGCAGAGCTGTTTTATTTAACAGAGCTTGCCACTCTTTCTAGCCTTCACACCAAATCTCTTTCTCATTACCAACGTATACCGGGAGCCTCTGTGCTTTTAATCTGAACATGAGTTAAATTTACAAATTTACTAGATCATTTGAAAGTCCGGGTTCATTTGAATGGGTAAAGAGAAAGCTGAAGTATTTTAAACTACACTTGTTTTCTCATGAAAACCACAGACAAACTGAAATCAAGTGTCATGTGAAACACCCCAGTTTCCTTCAGGGCCCACAGCGGGAGTGATGGCATTGCTCTGCTCGGCTCTTACGGGAGTTCTTTAAGCTTTCTACTTCCTCTTCTCGGCTGGACGCCGGCCGCCTTCCACCGAAGGGCACCGCGGACAGAGGGGTCGCGGCCAGGGAGGCTCCCACCGCGGGGGGTGCTCCGGCACCGGCTCAGCGAGGCTGCCAGGGCAGACTCCGTCCCCGCCCTGTAAACTGCCCTGACTAACCTGTTCCCCTCGAAGCGGGGGTTCGCCCTTACCAGCCCTCTAAAGCAGCGCCATCAAAGCGCGGTGGGCTGGCGGCCGGAGGCCGGGGTCTCCGCACCGCCGTCTGGACAGGGGACCCTTAGCTCGGCGCGGGGCAGCTCGCGTCTGCACGCGGCCTTCCCCTCCCTCACGGCCGGCCCCGCAGCCGCGGCTCGCGGGCAAAGCAAGCTGGTCGGGAGGTTCCTCTTTTTCGCTCGAAAAGGTAAACGCGTCCCCGCGGCAGCCGGTCCTTAAACGCGAGGCCTCCCCGACCCCCGCGGTGCCCCCTGGCCCCGAGGCCGCGCCGCGAACCCCGAAGCCACCGGCGAGCCCGGCCCCGGCCCGGCCCCCCGACAGCTCGGCCGCGCACTCACCCGAGGCCATGGCGCGGCTCCACGGGACGCCGCCAAGCCGGCCGGTCGCTCGCTCGCTCGCTCGTCAGTCAGCCGGCCGGGCGGCAGCGGCGGGGACCCCAGTGCTCCGGCCTCCCCCGGGCCTCCTCTGCCTTCCCGGCCCCTCTCGGTCTGCGGCTCACACCCTCCCACCCCTGAGCCCTCGCGCTCGGACCACTGGCGTCCCGGCGTCGCCCCGCCAGGATGCCGCGGCGGGGCCGGGGGGCGGGCGGCCCGGCGGGACGGGGATTTCCCGCCGCGGACGTCACTGCGCCGCCGCCGCCCACCCGGGAGGGGGCGGGGCCTCGCGGCGGCGGGGGGGGGGGGCGCGGCCCCGCCCCCCCGCCCGAGGGGCCGCCCGGCCCCTGAGAAACCCCCCCCCTCCGGAGCCCTCCGGAGCGCGCCGAGGAGCCGAGGCGCCGGGGGGCGTGGCCGTGACGTCGCGCGGGCCGAGCGGCCGGGGGCGGGCCGGGCGGTGCGGCGGGCGCGCTCCTCCTCCGCGGGAGGCCCGCCCGGGGTTTTCGCGCGGTGGTTCCCCGTCTTCCCGATTTCGCACATGCAAATCTCCGCCCCCGCGCCGCCGCGCGCCGCCGTCCCGGGGCTCTCGAGGGGAAGTGCGGAAGCGCCGGCGCCCGCGTTCGGCCGCAGGGCGCCGATTTGCATACGGAGACCCCCGCGGTCTGACTTCCCCTCCCGGGGCTGCCTACCGAGCGCCGCCTGCGCCCGTGAACGCGGCGTCCCGAGATGGACCGAGATACCCGCGAGCCCAGGCCCGGCCCGCACTTGCAGCGCCCCGGCCGGAACCGCGTTTCCCTGCAGTTCTGATTCGCACCTGTTCCCTCGGTCTGTGGTACTAGCTTCGCCGGGAACACTGAGTTGGTTGGGGTTTGGGGCAGTCGAGGAGCTTGTCGGTAAGAGCTCTAGTAAGGAAAAGCACGATTTAAGGTGTGAGATTGCCCAGCCCAGTTTAGCGCGCTCTCCCCACACTGCAGGCTGGGGCAGGTGGACTGTCTCAACGACAGAAATAACCCGGTTATCTGGAGCTGCCTCCTGCGTTCTCCAGTCCCTGACCGAAACAAGTAATGGTGGGGAAATAGAGAATATCATCTTGCACGTCCGGGGTAACTGCGCCTGCCACCGAGTCTGACAACCTGGCCATCCATGGAAGGAGAGAACCGACTTCCAAAAGTTGTCCTCTACATGTGCCCGAAGGAATGCTCTTGAAAGGACACCAAAAAAAAAAAAAAAAAAAAATTAGATAATTAAAATATATCCTGCCTTCAAAACAAAACAACAGAAAAATCATACAAGTACCCCGAAGTGAGGGACACGCTTGAGGAAATGATTTAAATCTTTTAATTCAAAAGTGTCTTCATAAGGGTATAAATAGCACTTGTTTTCTTTGGTTAAACTCAAAAACAGGCAAGCCACAAACATTTAAAAAAAAAAAAATACTGGTAAAAGGAATTAGCAGGGTGAATTATGTCCGGTCCTCCGGAAGCCAAGGCTGGAGGTTCATAACTTTGAAGCTAGGATGAGCCACAAAACATATTATACAATGTGCTGAACACACACACACACTTCAGCCTTTAATGTAGCTAGATTCATATGATATATTTTCTATGTATTGTCTTTATCCAAATACAAAGTAAATAGGAAGCTATGTCTTGAAGCCAAGAGAAGTTTAAATTCTCACAGAATTTTAGACCTTGTGTTCGGGAGCTGTCGCTCTACAGTTGGTAAGGCTGCTAGTTACCGGGGTTTACGGAGACTAGTATGTGGTTGTTTTAGTACAGGGTGGCATGTCTGTAGTCCAGCCGTCAGGAGGCGGGGGTAGGAGTAGCAGGGGTTCCGGGTCAGACTCCACGACATAATGAGTTTACAGCGCCAGCCTGAGCAATGGGAGAGCCCGTGTCAAAAAACAAGCATACATAAATATTTTGTCCCTGTCTTTCTATGAAGAAAATCAGGTGGTGGGAGTGGTAGAAACTGACCGGGTTCTCTTAGAAGGGACACTCAGTGGAAGCGATATTTGCGCTGAGTCAGTGCTTGCCACTGGAAACTTTTAACCATGCAATTAACTGATGTGTGCGTGCATTTGGAGCTTTTACCTGGCTGTTGCACTGTTAGCATATGCTACCTGGGGGTGGGGGGGGCGGTTAAGCTGCTACAGCGATAGATAGAGATGAGAATCATGATTTGGACTACTGTTTGTGCAGAGGGGATGGTGAAAGGAGGTCAGATGTGTGGTGGCAGGGACAGCCGGTAAAGTTGAGGGAGATGACGATTTCTTAATGAGTTTGGCAAAACGGAGGTCATTAAACTGGATGGCCTAGCTCTTTACAGTAATCCCAGGACTGGCTAGTCCAAGGCTAGCTAGCCTAGGTAAAATTGGGAACCCTGTTTCAAGTAAATTAAAAAAAAAAAAAAAAAAAGAGGTCACTTGTGACTTGAGAACTGCTAGAAAGGTGGTGATCTAAAAGCTGAAAAAAGGTTGAGGAGAGACCTTTGGAAGAGTGTTGAAGAAAGCAGAAATGGAGTGCTAGCTGGTACAGGGTGTGTATTTCTGTTATGCTCAGGGCTGTCACTGACCTCACTCTCAGCAAGTCAGCACAGAGTCCCCTGTGAGTTGACTGGCTGCCCTCCAGGAGTGACCCAGGTGCCTTCCGTGTTGCAGTACTAGTATTGAGACCCCAGGCTGGGCCTGCTCTGACTTACTCGATGACGTGGAATATCGCCTTTCAGGCTATGCCTTGCTACCTCACTTACTTCTCTATTACAGTGACAAGACACAAGAATGACCAAGGCAATTTGTAAAAGAAAGTATTTAATCTGAGGGCTCATGGCTTTAGAGGCGTAGAGTACCATCATGGTAGATAGAAGCAAGGAAGCCATGGCCCTGCAGCAGTAGCTGAGAGCTTTCATCTTGAGACAGCAACCATGAGGCAGAGAGAAAGAGCTAACTGGGAATGGGGTGGGTTCCACCCCAGTGACACACCTCCTAATCCTTCCCAGCAGTTCCACCAACTTTGGACCAAGTTAAAATATATGAGATGAGCCTATGGGGACCAATCTCATCCTGACCACTACACTAGCCTTGATTTATTTCATTTTATAAAGCAGCAGTCATGACCTAAAGTTACTCCATTTTGAGTGTAAGTGCCAAGAAAGAATGAGTCTACATCTTGCTCACACCAGTAAACAACCGTTATCTGCCAACACGCCATGAGACACTAACCAGGAGCTAAATATATCAGGCGGCAATCAGAAGCACCACACCTGGGACTATAAAAGAAGGAGCACCCCCAGGACCAAAATGTGACAGGCATCATGCTAACTGTCACCCAGTTACCTGTCATAAGCCTCATGTAGGGTAATTGCTGTATCAAGGACTCCCTTTGCCCCTGTCCCAGGCGCCAGCCTCAGAGTCCCCTGCAAGTGACACTCAGTTCACCTCAAGCTGACCCTGGAAATGTCCTGTCACTTGGACTGGCATTTGACCTTTCTGCACCTGAGCAGCTCGATGTCCAGGCCTGTAAGACTCAGTCCTGGCAGGCTCTTCCTTGTGCCTGTGTCTGCTTTCTGCGTCTGTGTATTCTGGAGCCTCTTTCACCCTTTCTTAAACACTGTTTAACCTGTTCCACACGTGCTTGTACATGCACGTACATGAATGTATCGTGTGACCTGAGAGTTAAGAGCTGCTGATTTCCAACAGGCGTCTGGAGACTTGGGAAAATGTAGCTAACAAAACTGATGCAGGCTGTGAATTTCTTGTTACTCAGTACATTCTGACATTAAAGACATAAATATGTCTACCCATGTTTCTGATGTATATGCCCATAACAAATACGTAACACCGTTAAGGCTGCCTTACCAGGGGAGAGAAAAGGATCACAAGTGATGGATTTACGTGGGCCAGGCATAGTCACCTTCCTATTACTGCACAGTAGGACAGTACACACTGCCTTAGTTTCCAAAAATATCAGGAAACAGAAATTGGTAAAGGAAAGTGATAGATAACCAGGCTTATTGGCTCATAGCTATAATCCTAGCACTTAGGAGACTGAAGCAAGAGTTAGACCAATCTGGGCTGCAGAGTAAGACTGAGAAAGGGGAGGAAACAAGCAAACAAAGACATCAGTGAGCACTGTCAGTCTCTGGTATGGACGTTTTTGTGACATTTGTCATGCAGTGTAAAAATGGGACAAGGTGGGGAAGGAGGTTGACGGCAGCGTGCGACATCAGAGCACAGATGCTGCTGGAACACGATACCCGTGTGAGGTAATGAGGAAGGAATGTGGGAGCTGCCTTGCTAAAAAGCATTGACTGCTCACTTGATTCTACAAGGCTTTAAAGCAGTGGCCCTGAACCTTCCTAATGCGGCCACATTTCAAACAGTTCCTCGTGTTATGCTGACCCTCAGCCATAAAGTTGTTTTTGTTGCTACTTCATAACTGTATTTTCCTAGTCATGAATTGTAGTGTAAATAGCTGATATGCAGGATATCAGATAATCAACTTCTGTGAACAGGGGTCGAGATGCACAGGTTGAGAGGTGCTCCAAAAACATAGGCTTAAAGACTGCCTCTTTGTTTTGGGTCTGTACCCTTTACTCTGGCTGAAGGCACAGGGACATGTCACTCGGGAGCGCTGGAATTAAGGACTTGCATGACAGCATCTGGCTTTCATGTGGATTCTTGGGGGTGTGAACTCAGCTCCTCATGCTTCCTCAGCAAGCACCTTACTGACTGACCCATCTCTCCAGCCTGGGAGTCATGTTTGACTTTCCTGCCACCTCCAGCCTACCCTGCAGCATCTGTTCACCATGCAGTCAATTACAATAAATCGTTTTTCTTCTTCTGTTGCTGGGGATTAAATTTAAGGCTTGGAGGAATGTCCATTCTTTTGACATTGTTACAATACATTGTAAAGTATTATAAAATTCACACTTGAGAACAGCATAGTTAAGTTGCAAAAAAAACAAAACAAAACTTGCAAAAGATATCTCACGCTGTTTTAGCTGTTCATGATTTTGTGTTGGGCTGTGCCTTAGCTATCCTAGCACAGATGGCCCATGGGCTGCAGGTTAGACCCACCTGGAAACATGCTAAGCATGCTAGGTCTGCCCCTGAGCTATGCCAGTGGCCCTCTTCTTCATTTTGGCTGCCACTGTCATTGGGAAGTCTTTGCTATGTCTCATCTGAACTATTG